CAAGAAGAAACCTAGTAAGTGTGAAGACAAAGGCAGTAATAACAAGGACAGTAGCAAAAAGTTTAAATGCTTTGGTTGTAAAGAGGTTGGTCACCTTAAGAAAGACTGTCCTAAGAAAGTAGTTTCTCGAAAAGATGGCAGTAGTAAGGAAATTAACATGATGTTACTGACTGTGAATTCGGCTGAAAGTAGTATTGCAGATCGTGACCATTGGAATGTAGATAATGGGGCTACGAATCATGTTACAATGCGGAATGATATCTTTCAAGATTTCGAATACTTCAGTGAAGGTCACACTGTAACTACGGCGGACAAAAATGTGATCAAGGCAGTAGGCAAAGGATCAGTTTGTATTGAGGCCGATGTTAATGGACATACTGTGAGATCGACTTTGAGAGATGTTTGGTATGTTCCTCAGATAAGTAGAAATCTGTTTTCTGTATTATCGACGCAAGATAGGAATCCAGGTAGCGTGTTTGAATCACGGGTCACTACTTGTACTATGAAAATAGGAGGAATGATTACTGTGACAGGAAATAGGGAGAGGTATGGAGGATTATACAAGCTGAATTGTAGAGTCGTACCGCCTATTAATATGTTAGTAAATTTGGTACAGAAAGTTGATATATTGCAACTTTATCACGAACGTTTTGGTCATCAAAATAAAAGACATATAAGAAGTCTGATAGATAGAGAGTTGGGAATAAAAACAAAAGATAGTGAAGAATTATGCGAAGGTTGTATCTTTGGAAAATCTCACAGACAAAAGTTTGGTGTACGAGATAAAGCTACGAAACCTGGAGAACGCATACATTCGGATGTTTGTGGGCCCTTTCCATCTAGTTATTCCAAATTACGATATTTTGTACTTTTCAAAGACGAATATACACGTCATCGTTTTGTGTATTTTCTTCGGAATAAGTCGGAAGTACACGAGAAATTGAAACAGTTTCTAGTTGAAGCTAAAGTAGCTGGTCATGTTGTTAAGGAACTATTGAGTGACAATGGTGGTGAATTCGACAATGCACAAGTACGGAAAATATTGGTGGAAAATGGAATAAAGCAAAGACTGACGATGCCGTATACACCGGAACAAAACGGAAATAGCGAAAGAGATAACAGAACGATCGTGGAATGTGCTAGAGCTATGATGCATGCACATGAAAGGTTACCTGAAACTTTGTGGGCTGAATTGGTGAATACTGCTGTATATATTTTAAACAGGACAGGGCCAACGTCAGTGGAACACAAGTCACCCTCAGAACTTTGGACTGGTATAAAGCCAAGGATTAAACACATGAGGATCATTGGGTCATCATGTTATGCTCACGTACCTAAACAGACTCGGAAAAAATTACATAAGAAAGCTATGAAATGTGTTCTAATAGGATATGATAATGATGATGGATATCGTCTCTGGAATGGTTCTACTGGTTTAGTAAGGTCAAGAGATGTGACATTTGATGATATGTCTCTGCTTAGAGGTGAATCACTGAAGGTGTCTGAACCCATGCAAGCAGAATTTCCTAGCAATGTAATTGAGTTGCAACCTTTGGCATTACAAAAGATAACTCAACAGAGGAATGATGAAAAATTATCTCATGTAGAATCTTCTGATGCTCAGAATATTGTAATTGATAATGATGAAGTTGAAGGTCTTGTAAACAATGATGAGTTTATTGATAGAGAAGACACTTCTGTTATTAATGAAGATATATTTGATGATGCAAGAAGTAATACGCTAGAACAAAATATTGAATGTGGGGGGGTATTAGAAGGAAACGACGAAGCTGAGCTTCACGAAACTATGGATGAACATGAGATTATAGAGGAAAGTAGTCGTATTCTTAGAGATAGGTCATCGCTTCGTCTACCACAGAAATTCAATGATTTTATTCTATATAATATAAATGGAGAGAGCACTGGTAATCAACTGGAACCTAATAGCTACAAGGAAGCTGTGAGAAGTGCTGAAAGTAAACTTTGGAGAATGGCAATGGATAAGGAAATTAATTCTCTGAAGGAAAATAAAACTTGGGTGTTGGTAGATCTCCCGAAAGGTCGGAAAGTCATACCCTGCAAGTGGGTTTTCAATGTCAAATTAAATGTTGACGGGAATGTCGACAAATACAAGGCTAGGCTTGTTATTAAGGGATATAGTCAGAAGAAAGGCGTGGACTATTATCAAACATTCAGTCCTGTAGCAAGAATGGCGACCATTAGAAGTGTATTAGCTGTTGCCGCTAATGAACAGATGCATATGGCGCAATTTGATGTATCTACTGCTTTTCTGTATGGCGATCTTGATGAAGAAATCTACATGCGACAGCCGGAAGGTTATGAAGATAACTCTGGTAAAGTTTGTTTACTGAAGAAAAGTCTTTATGGTTTGAAGCAGGCACCTCGGTGCTGGAACAAGCGTATATTAAATTTTTTCAGGGAAATCGGTTTGAAAGTATCTGATGCTGATCCATGCCTTTTCACAAGAAAGGAGTCTAGCGAGAAGCTCATTGTGGCTCTTTATGTGGATGATGGTTTGGTAGCTGCGTCTAATCAGAAACTGATCGAAAGTTTCCTAAAAGATTTAATGGGAAAATTTAAAATCACAACGAAGTCTGTATCCTACTTTCTCGGTATAGAGATAATAACCAGAGAAGACGGCATAAAAATTCATCAGAAGTGTTATGTGAACAAAGTTCTTCGACGGTTTGGGATGGACAGCTGCAGACCGGTGCATACACCAATTGTTAGAGACATGTCTCAAAACCGGGATAAGGTCGACATGAGTAATATGTTGTTGAACTATAGACATATTGTTGGAGCCTTAGCATATCTCATGGTTGGAACGAGACCTGACATTGCATTTGCTGTTAGTGTCGTCTCAAGAAATTTGGAAAATCCAACTGAAGACGATTGTGTAAAGCTGAAACGGATTCTGCGTTATCTACAACATACGCAAGATATGGGTATTTTGTATCAAAAGAACTATAAAAAGGGCATCATAGAGTGTTATAGTGATGCTGACCATGGAGGAGACGTTGGTACTGGAAGGTCAACTTCTGGAGTACTGTGCATGTTTGCTGGTGGTGCTGTATCTTGGATGAGTCAAAGACAAGCAAGTGTTGCAATTTCAACCACTGAAGCAGAAATAGTTGCGGCCAGTGAAGCAGCTCGAGAATGCATTTGGCTAACTAGGATACTAAGCGAACTTACTGAAATACAGTATCCTCCTGTATTACAAGTGGACAATGAAGCCGCGGTGAGACTAGCGGAAAATCCTGAGTTTCACAAGAGAACAAAACATATTCTCATCAGGCACTTCTTTGTTCGAGAACTTGTGACAAAAGGTGATCTCATGGTTCAGAAAATTAGCAATGAGTGGCAGCTTGCGGATATTTTTACTAAAGCTTTACCAAAGCCAAGGTTAGAGAAGATTAGTAAGCTGCTAGGATTACACATCGAGAGAAGATGTTAAGAACCTCCTTGGTTCAATGGCAGGCGATATGCATTCTAGCAGCGCTTGTCAATGTAAAATAAAAAAAGAAAATAATATTTTTTTATGACAGATTACCTTTTTGTCTTATATACTATGAACATTGACTGAACTTGCTAACTGACTAATATTAACTAGTGTAGGTATCCAAAATCCTAGTCCTGGTTTTCCTTAACACTGATCCTGATCCCGGCGTTGCTTAATACTGGTGAGTGCTACTACCAATTTCCTATATTAGTTTATGCAAGGAGGTTGGTAGCCTACACACGCATACAATTTACTTTTACAATTATCGCCAAACTGTAAAAAAGAAGAAATTAATTTGTTTTTTTGTTTTTTAAAAGGATGTCACAAGCGCTGTCTAAATATAATAGTTGTTCTGTAAAGACGTAAAATTCTTTTATTCCAATTTTCCTCGTAAAACCCTTCAGGTTATGGGCTATCAGAGCAAATAATAAGTAAAAATAAATAATACAGAAATAAAAAATAGTGTAGAACAACAGTAAAAATATTAAAAATGAAAGTCGCAACGGCTGAAGAAATTCACCGAATTTGTCTCTTGGCCGATGTCACTTCCTTTCAGCTATGGAAATTTGAAATAAAAATTCTTCTCGAAGCAAAAGGTCTATTGCAATATATTGATAATGCGGACAATACTGAGGAAAAAATTCAAACAGGTAAAGACGCTATGACAAAACATATTATTCTACAAAGTGTATCAATCAAAGCATAAAACTCAATTGTTCCAATGCAAAACCGCATACGACATGTTTAAGCTAACAAAAGCTTGAAAATTTAATACATAGACCATCCTAATACCCTAATACAACCTAGGGCATCAACAAAAGGACAAAGCTTCTTCAGAGAAGATTGACACTCTTCACCTCTTGCTAAGGCCCGAAAGTCAGTAGAAAAATGTTCGTGTTGAACCGATTTGACTAAAATAATCTGCGCTTCACGCCAGCGTTCAACAGATAATGTAAACTGACGCTTGGACTTACGTATGCGCTCCACAAATTGTAAACAGCGAACTACAACATTTATTATAGTTTGAAAACTCGAGAGCTTTTCTGTTAGAACATAAAACACATTTCCTTATCAGTTATTAATAGGGTAAGATTGGATTTTAATTCTGGAATCTCAGGTACATTTCTGAACACCGCCATAGTTTTAATTGGCCAGGAATCTTGTTCATTGGCCAGCCATGACGGGCCAGACAACCACTCAGTACTGGCTAGCAATGCAGACGGTAATGCATCACGAGAAGCTACGTCAGCTGGATTATTGAGTCCAGCAACGTGGTACCATGCATTCATCGGCACTTGTTCAAGAATTTTGCTAACTCTAGTAGCAACAAAACTGCTTGGCAGCTTTGGCGTTTACTAATTTTTTATCTTAATTTACAATTAAATTATGATGATGTTCATATTATGATACTTACGTAAAAGACAATTTATCTGTTGAATCTCAGAATTATCATAGTTGGTAACACTTATTGCATATTTTATGATCTGTGGGGTAAACTGCTGTCAGCTGTTAACGACTGTCAAGTTTTGTCTAAAATTTTTAAACATAACAATACTTCTTTATTTGAATTTTGAACTCAAATATAATATATATTTTACAAAGAAGGGTAGTGTAACGATCACAGCCACATTAATAAATAATACTGATTCGTGGCTCTCAACGCCAACGCAAATGTTTGTAATGATATTTTGTTAATAGTTGGTTTATTATAGTTTCAATTGTTCCTATTTTTTTCTTAAAAATAGTCTTCGTAATTTATTGAAATCTATTAATAAATAAGTATTTACTGAAATCTGCGCTGAATTATATATGTAATATTTAGTGTGGAAGACCTAAACTTTAAAATGCAGCCCCCTACCAAGTATAATATAAGTTGTGATTCTTATAAAAAAAATATGTGTAATGGCTTTTCTGATTTACAACAGGTAAATAAGCATCTTTTTATTCAGTCATTAGGTTTATTATATACGCGAGTATTTTTTTTTAAACCCCTCTAATAATCCATGTGGTGAATTTGCTGTGATGGGCTAGCTGACCTGACTTCATGCTTATCCTATCATTTTCCACAGGTGTTCAGCCAACTTAAACCGTTATCATGGATGATCATCATCATCATACCATTATCATTGCTAAAAAAACAATTTTAAGGGTTGAATCTTAAATCAATTTACATGAATTTGAGTAAACAATCAACACTTATAAGCATTGGTTGACAAATTTATTTCTAATTCTGTTTTTAAAAAGTACAATTTATTATCTTACTTCCAGAGAGAAGAATTTGTGGATATGACCTTGGCTGCCGAGGGCCATTTTGTGAAAGTACACAAGAATTTAATTGCCCTTGCTAGTCCTTTCCTGAAAGAAATTTTGAAGTCAGCTCCATGTCAACATCCAATTATATTTTTAACAGTAAGTATATGTTTTTATAAATAATTCAAATATTTCTATATCATTCCCATTTTAAGACACAAAATAATTCCTATAGTAACTATGCTAATTCCTTTCTACTTTATTACAGCACATTAGTCAAAAAACTTTAAGTTATCTTTTAGAGTATATCTATACTGGAGAAGTACAAGTACCAATGGAGAATATGAATTCATTTATAGAAGCATGCAAATATTTGCATCTAGCTGGAGTAGAAGATTTAATACATACACAGGTATTCTACCCTAAATATATGATATAGTAAGACACATTAAAATAACTTTTATTTATAAATTGTAATGTTGGTATAATTTGTATTTACAGACCCAATTTTCATCGACTAATGTGTTACAACCTACTACATCAGAAAAACCTGAAGAAAATGAGTGAGAAATTATTATTATAACTTTATTTCTCATAGATTTATATTTTATTTTTATAATAAAATTTTTAGTTATTGGTCCCTTATAGATCTTTGCTTTCTCCCTTATTTACCATCACCCTATCTTCATAATAACAGTGATTAAATTAGTCCCTGCTATATCCATTATATCATATTTTGAATTAAGAACTTCAACACCACTAATATATCTCAAGACATGGACAACATTGTTTGTATAAAATATGTAATGATTATATACTTGTTACAGAGATAATTATTATGCAGCACATATCACAATCAATGATATAAATGAATTAGATGTACACCATTTTGGAAATGAACAGTTAGTTCATAATAGAAACAAAAGTATGAACCAAGTAACCACTGAAAGATGTGGTATTGACAGTAGTACTGTCAGTCATACCATAGGAACTCTAGTGAATTCTGATTATGAAGTTGTAGATACTGCTAATAATTTAGAAATACCTCAAAGTGCTAGTCTAATCGATGACTCCCACTTGAATTTCAATAACAGTATTTGTACAAACCAATCTGAAGGACAAATGAGTGTTGAAGGTATTTCAATATTTGTATTGAATCACTACTTTGATTTTTATGTCACCATAATTTGGCTTAGAACCAAATACACTGAATGGAATGTGGTTAATTCTATATTTATTGCAGATACCATGAGACCACGCTACACTGTATCAAACAGGGGTTCATTGCAATTAATATTTAATGATTTCATGTATTCTAATCATCACACTGCTAATGGAGGACGTAAACGTCGCTGGAGATGTATTGACTACCGTAGTATACAATGTCCTGCTTTTATAGATACAGATGGTGAAACAATAGTGAACAGGTAACAGCCTTTGATTTATTCATTCTCTCATAAATACTTTTTCTAAGTACATACCTTAGTGGTAGTCTAAGTCTGCAGTGCAACTGACTGACACTGACATGCAATGCAACTTTTCTAGTTCTCAAGCTAAAACTGCTGTAAAAAAATATTGACCATATTTGATAGTTTCACTAAACACTTGGTCTATGTGCATAGTTTATTTTTATATTTTTATCATCAAATATCCATACATATTTCAAAAACTATGATCAAGGCTTTAAAATAATAAACAAATTAAAAATATTTAACACATTAAAGAAAAAAGGAAACTTATAAAACCCTACATACAATCCTACAGTGAAATATAGATATTTCACTGTAGGATTGTATTCAAATACAAAAGAACAAGAACACAAAAGTAATTATAAAATAATAAAGACTATTAATGTTCACTTACTGTACATGTACTTACATGTACAGAAGATATTGTATATTGTATTATAGTAATGTATTTATTTTTGCAGAGAGTGTCTACACCTCCACCCATCCCACGAAACTAAGATAATGAATAAAGTTCAACAAAATTTAGTATACACTTCAATAACAATGGCTACAAAAGAATCTATAAACAATAGAGAAAGAGATACCTACATCACCTTTTCTATTACTTCACCTTAGATAAAAAATAGTTTTGTTATAGTGATATAAATCAAGTTTAAGTTTAAGTTTAAGTTTATTAACAATAGAAGTTAATATATTATTCTTGAGAAATACTTGTGTGACTTTACATATGGTATGATAGCAAGTAGAATTTTGTGAAAGAAATTAATTGTTTCTTATTGAAACAAATCCTGGAATGCCTACAAATAAAAATAAAAATTATATGTACCTACATGTTTCATTCAATAATAATTTACTCAAGATACCAATTACCAACAATATAAAACTAAAACCTTCTGGCGATAGTAAAACATAACTTGATTAACATTATGCATACCTTTACAGATAATGTGGACTGGTAGTATTTTTAAATACTATTGAGAAATCTATATTATATAGTATTTAAATTTTCAGTTTTAGTGTGGTATTTCAAGAAGTAAAAAAAGTTCAAGTTATATGTAAATATTATTGTAAGAATTTTGCGCGAACGCGTTAAAGATGTAGTCATGTAGGGCGCAGCCCTGGCAATTTCTTCTCATCACTGGACACCACGTCCCATCCTGATGCCCTTTATTAGGAAATGAAAAAATTTCGTCCCGAAACCAAAATATTAGCAGGTATTTTGGTATTTTGTGGGAGCCATGACTCCTGAAGGAAAATTCCTGAAGGCCAAAATCAGACAAACCAAGCCAGTAGTTTTTGGGTTGACAATCTTAATTATAGTCATACTTAGTGACCTTTTATTAAAATTTGTAGTGGTGTAAATTTTTGACGATATATGAATTGGAAAGATCTTTATAACGGAGTTGTAGTTTAGGGAAAGTTGCCGTCAATGATAGCTATGCATTGTAAAACATTGACAAAATTGGTCATTAGAGGGGGTAAAGAAAGATGGTTTTAGTTAGGATCTTTGTTAGCTTTCATTTATCTGATTTTTACCTGTGGCAACAATTTTGTCTTCTCTATGGTGAACATGATCTGTGGTTGTTTAATTTCAAACAAATATAGCATGTCCTATCATATATTTAAATTGTGGCAAGTCTTTTTACGAAATATTGTTTTAAAACAAATATTTTAACAATATTCTTTGCATTTTCTCTTGTAATTGTCATATTATATCAAATACAACTGACAAAATCTTATAATTAACAATCTTAGAATTGCGATTTGCAGCAGTGATGGTTCAATCTCAATACGCTTTGTCCTGGAATTCGTACAAAACTAGCATTTGCAATGGATTTAGCTCCTTGCAACAGGTATTTTCAGTGTTTTGTGTGTAAAATTGATACCAAGTAATTACATTTAATTAAAATCACAGAGTAAAGAATTCATACTTTTTGTTATGTTTAGTTTAGTCTGTTTACATATACAGTGGACCCCCGGTTATCCGACAAACGTTTTGCAGGGCAGTGTCGGACCATCGAATTAAGGGTCTCGTATAGTCCGGAATTTTTTACAAAAGAGTATCTTGTAATCCGGCAGATTACAGATCCTGTGATAAGATTCTATGTTATATATGTATGTATGTATATACATTCTGAAGTATATTGTCAAAAAAATATTCAATAATAAATAATAGACCATGTCGGATTACAAGGAGGGCTGGATTACCGCGTGTCCACTGTATTAAGTATTGTTTTCAGAATGCTGAGTTTGTTGATATGACTATTGCTGCAGATGGGCACTTTGTAAAAGTGCACCAAGTATTAATGGCTTTAGCTAGCCCTTACTTAAAGGAACTTATTTCATCTGCTCCAGGACAACACCCCATACTATTTCTTAATGTGAGTTACAATAATAAATTATATATTAATCCTCGGTTAAAGGATACCTTTTGATAGAAACTTTTACATTATTTGTAGATATAGCTGTTAAATCATCAAGGAAATCTATCAAGCTTATTAAAGTAATTAAAAATTTAAGTAATTTTCATTGAAAATATATTTACTGCTCGTTTCCGCAGAAACATATGTATTTATTTAATAACTAAATATCTCATACTTAGGCAATATAATTAAACTATGGTTTATTCTCAATTGTAAAACATATAGTTTCTGTATGAATTGTTTCTATTGTCTTAATTCATAAATGCCTAAAGTCTAGATAAGAGGTGTAGCTCTGTACAAGACAGGTATTTTACAGACAAAACAAATATTTTATTTAATGTTCTGTATTCCATATAAAAACCCAATAGCCATTCTTTAAATAGTAAGATATGTTGAAATATTTATAATTTGTTAGATCTTTTACCGAATAACCGATTTCAGAGAAGATATCCTCTATATTTATGCAGAAGAGATCCCACTTAGTATAAATACATCAATAAATATGAAATATATTTTGTCTTACAGAATGTGTCCCACAAAACACTGTGTCTGTTACTTGAATACATTTATACAGGCGAAGTACTTGTACCATCTGATGGGCTTTCTTCTTTTGGAGAAGCTGCGAAAGCCCTTCACATAAAAGGTCTTGAAAATATTGTAAGTACTAAGCAGTGACACACTTGTAATTAATTTTAAAATATTCTACCTACATGCATATTTAAAATTAAACTTGTTTTATGGTTAATAAGTTGTTAATGATTCCTAATGTAAGATTAATTGTTTAAACTTTTTTTTTAAAATGTGAATTCACAATCGTACATTTATCTTTGGAAGAAAATATAACCTGTAACACATTTGTCACTATTTTATTACTACTTATCAAAGAAATTTTACTACTATATCTAGTAAATTGTGATTATGTATAAAGTTATACTAAATAAAGTACATTTTATTTGTTTTGCAGATCAACACAAATACTAAAATGTCAACAAATGTATCGCAACCTGAAGAGGATTTGTGCCATGTTAGTGGGATTAAAAGGCTCGCTGTTACTACAAGTGATGGAACAGAACAGGTAACTAACCACATCAATTATAGTGTTGGTTGTAAGCAATTTAAAAACTACATTTAGTAAGCAAATTAAATAAGTAAGTTTAGTAGATCAATGATAGTAACTTCATGTTTAGTCAAGTTAAATAGTGTTATTTTATTTCTTTACTCAGGATAAATATGTATTTAGTCAGTATAATGTTGTTTATAGGTTAGTTTGCCAGCAGCTGCTCGAAAAATTTACGTCAAACAAAACGTGGGACCTTATATGTAAGTAGAGCACATAAACTTATTTTTTATTGTAATTACAATATAGTATCACTCGAACAGAGGTCCCATTTTTCATTGCATATTCTAGACGACTAGTGTGAGAAATTTTCTCCCTTTTTTACATATACCCTAAAAATTAGTGCTGTATGTTTTCAGAACAAAACCTGAAGTACAGTCAACATATAAAGACACCTCGCAAGATTACACTGATATGGAAGACAGTGCTGTGCAGGACTCTGATGACGATGATAATCTACAGACAGCTGCTAAAAAATTGGCTACAGACAAATGTAAGTACCTATATTAAATAATACATCACACTAGCCATGAAGTCCTTACGATATTGTGACTGTTCATTCTTTCATATAGTTTACTATTGTCTTATTGGCATATAACATGTATAAGTTTAGATTATTATTACAGACAATACATGTTAATCATAAGTTTCTCAAACATAGTTTATTTCTTGCTATGGTTTTTAAACCCACTATTTATTTTTTGTATAAAAGAATATAGAAGTGGCGCTAAAAAATTATATTGTTCTTGAAGAAGTAAATAACAATTAATTACTATGTGTGATTATGCCAACAGTGTCGTCGAATCTACAATTTACGGTGTCAATACGCGGCTCTCTCCAGGTGATACTTAACCGATACATCTACAATCTGCACTCGGTCACTCATCGCTCCGGCGTCCGTCGCTGGAGATGTGTCGATTACCGTAACAACAAGTGCATGGCTTTTGTTGTCACTAAAGATAACATCGTTCTAAACAGGTGAGCTTAACATTCAATTTAAGAAAACTGTAAACTATAATCAAGATCTATACAAAATCGGATGAGATGTGACATTTTATATCACAGTATTTATTTAATATTTATTTTATTTGAAGTATTTAGTTTGACTTATTTTTTTGTGAATTATCCATATCCCATTATATATTGGTACTTTCATAGTAATAGATAATATTACATATTAATGAGCTACTATCTACATATGATTACTTTTCTTTATACATTATTTCTTTTGTAATTTTAACCCAATTGTACCAACCCCCCTTGGGTTATGATTTGGATATTTTTTACGAAAATTATCTTTAGCTCTGGCGAAATTGAAATCGGCCGCTAGTCTATAATAACTAGTTTCAACACTATATATATTTTATAACACGATGATGACAATCAAGCATACGGCCCATCTGATGATGTTAACCGGTTACCGTAGCCTATGGACGTCTACAACACTAGGGGTGCTACGTGCACATATAATATTAATGATATATGAAAATATTTGAAAATTAAGATTACAGTGTCTTTGGCCTCTTAACTAAAATCACATTCTTTCTATTTCATGACCCAGTGTAATAACATAATTATCATTCGACAGGGCTAATCTTCACAACCATTCGTTCCATGACAAGAAAATAATTGCTAAACTTGAAAAGAAGTCTGTATATTCTGCATTAGACGACGTTAAAGGCTACAAAGAGAAGACAATGAGCAGCGACAGTTCTCTCGAACACGATGTCAGTATGTCTCTAGATTGAACGAGACCCTTAATGAATCAGATTAGATAATTATAAATTGTAATGATAAGCATCTATTAAAGTTATATTATGTCCTTTTTTATTTGTAATTCTTTAAAAATAACAGTAGTAGACTGAGGAGCAAGTTGGATTGGTCTACAGTACACCTACTTAAGTTTAAGGGTGTTTAGTTAGCGTATACTGACAAGGTAAAAAACTTAAGGCTTCTATTAAACGGCAACAATGTCATGGACATCTTATGTCAATGAAATGAAATGGTTTATTTCTTAGACGTTACCGAGAGGAGAGGAATCTCTTCAATACATCTTTAGCTATTACAAAATATAGCCGTCAAATTTATTTTCAGTTTGCGTCTCTGAATTTAACGCTCATTTAAAGTGGCTCCAAAGTAATATGGACATCCTGAAAGAATCCTAATGCTCCTGCTTACCTTCATTCCCGCTTTCAATTACCTCCTCCTGCTAGATGCCTTTGTCAAAACCACTCGAGTATGTATTTAATTTTCACACTGTCTCAATGTTTGGAAATTCCTTTTCATTTCGTGCTGTTAAATTGTGGAAGGATCTTTGCTGATACACAAATTCATGAATGTGTTCCTTTAAAAAAAAGGTTAAAGTCGAACTACCGTTATATGTGTAGTTTCGTCATTTGTAAATTATTTTTATTTTGTGTAATCTATATAGATATTTGTAATAATGAGTAACAATAATATCCCTTGACAATTAACACAGCGCCATCTAGTTCCAAGCTAAGCAGAGTTTGTGTTATAGGTACAGATAACTGACAGATATACTTAGATACATTTCTTGTTTATAAATACATACAGTATATAGAAAACACTGAGACCAATACAAACAATCATACTCATGAACACAAATCTCAGTACCGTACGAGGAATTGAACCCACGACCAACCGAAGTAAATCAGCTAAATTGCTAGACCACCGAGGTCGTCAGTTGTGTTAAATATAATGTTTATGTATACATAAACATATATAGGCCTTTATTTATGTTTATGTATGTTTTATTGTTATGTATCTAATTATAATAATGATATTATTTAGATAGGTATAATTATTTTTTAATTTGGACATTCTACTGTTAGTTGCTTTGTTGTTACCCATTCACTACTTGCTATACCTTACTGTACTGGTTTAATTGGTAGAGAACTCTTTTAGAGATAAGTCCACCTTTGCTCACATTGTCTATAAATAAGATTATTACTGTATTTCAAAGTGCAATAAAGTATATATATAATATGCACTATTTCATTGTTGTTTTTTAAAAGCGTGATGTGTGAGAGTAACTTTAATCTGGATATTTCCGTATTGTGCACAAAATGCCAATTTTATTAAAGAAACAGTATATTCAAAAATAAAGTTGCAATGGTATGTATACTAAATAAATATCTAGCCATATATTATGCATAATACAATTAGTAACATACAAGTGGGGATCGAACTCACGATCTCCATAAATTGAACAGTGCCCTAAATCTTTGCGCTAGCGTGTTTTTAACTGAAATGGCAGAGACTAGCGCACCTAATTACTAATGGTGAGCAACGCTTATATAAAAGGAAGGTGTTCAAGATGATTTTCTAAGGAGAAATTGAAATTATTCCAGTTATTTATGTAACAACCCATTTTGAGTTATAATGTAAAAAAAAGATAAATGTTAATAATCATTATAATATTTACATTAATACATCTTGGACATTTGGGTGTGCAAGATGATCGCTATGGTTTTCACACGAAGATCTCCGATTGTCACAAATTGTCAAATTTACACAGCGTCATCTGATCTGTTTTGTAGGGTAGGTTAGTACTAGACAACTGATATAATTACATAGATGCATTTTTTTTATAAATATATCCATATTTTAAAAACTGTGAAACCTTTAAAAACAATCATACTCATGGATATAAATATATAAATAAATGTTTGTACCGTGCGAGTAATCGAACTCGCGACCTTTGGAAGGAACGCTATGTGCATAACCACTAGAACCACCGAGCTTATTAAATTATGCCTATATCCTATATTCTATATCATTCATTTTGCTATAATTAAATTCAGTTATGCACAATTAAAATGCAAAGGCTTAGATTGTAGGTCATAGTAGAGGTATATACATATAATCTATGTATCTGTTTTAAAATGACTGTATTACCCACATAACATGCAGTAATATTTACTCAGTCGAAAAGTTATCTATTTCATTCATTCAAATATGTGTTCAGTACATAACAACGCATGTAGATCATATTTTTTTGCAGTCGATAGGTTTTACATTTGTGTTGCTCTCGATGCAAAATACTGGACTAGTAGTGCTTGGTTGGACTGGAAAGTTGCTTTGTAACAGAATGTATCTGTCTATATATAGCTACGTGTATTGAGTAATTAACAACGTTATTTATATTCAGCAGTTAAGTGCTCATAATTCGTGAAAACGTGAGCCACTGTACTGTGCCAGTCGTAAATACCTATATATGTAGTTATATATTTAGATATTAGATATACCTATCACGGTTTTATAATAGATTACATCATTCAGATGAATCTCATTTTAGAATTCATTTTACCATCTACCAACATGTGGACGGTACGGTACTTGTTTTTTGTTCTATACAGTTTATATGCAACTGTAGCAAATCCTTTGCCAAGAAAATACATGTCACAATGCTATCAAGAAATTTCGCCGATAAAAAGGTTTCAAGAGTATATACAAATTGACACGAGCCAAGAAGCTAACATACGTAAGTACATTTGACAACCTCCTTAAATAGACTAGTTTAATTACCTTTCTATTTATTTTATTTAATTATCTATGTCGGGTTTACCTAATAATAGCGGCTAGATAATGATGTATGTAGGTACTTAAATTAGATTCCGTGATCTTCATTACATGTGGTGTCATTACTTCTAGCAGTATATATTATTTAACAGTGTATCTTGATTCATATTTTTTTAGTACAAATATTATAATAGTGATCCATAATCAAGCACACTACCTACTTGACGGTAAGCAATCATAGCAGTTTAGGTATACTGTCGTTTTTGACATAAATCCGTGAAGTTGATTTTCAAACACAACTTTCAAAACAAAGGCTTCATAAATTTTAAAATGGTACGTAAATACTGTAGCTGAATTGAAATAATTTTCGCGATATTTAATCGAAAATGTAAAATTATATTTGAATTTAGTTATCACTATGATACACTTTTTTTTTCCTAGTAAGTACTGTTTTTCCTAGCCGGAATGTCTTAATAAATTGTCTGTAGACGCTATGTGGTCCAACATGTTTGCGCCTATCCTACATGTCCTTTAATATTTTGGTCTTGTATAAAGGAAACAGTCAACACTCCGCAACCTCCATTTTGTTTATATAAACCTATGTAACATAAAATTTGACGACCTCGGTGGTCTAGTGGTTTAGCACACCGCTTTACGTCCGATGGTCGCGGGTTCGATTCCTCGCACGGCACAAACATTTGTATTCATGAGTATGATTGTTTGTGTCGGTCTGGGTGTTTTCTATGTATAATATGTATGTATTTACGAAAAAAAAATATATCTATGTATTTGTATCAGTTGTCTAGTATCCATAACACAAGCTTTAGCTAGCTTAACTAGGTCTAGATGGCGCTGTGTGAATTGTCTCGAGATTATTATTATTATTATAAAATAAAATAAACGTAATAATTGGGCAGGAGGTAATAGGTAGGTAGGTACATACATTTCACCTATAACCAACTAATATCCAAGCTCTATCAAACTACTCACTTCCAGATATTACTAGGATCAAATGAGTAAAATAATGATTCTTTATGACATATTTTCATAAATAATGCTACAGTGGTGGGGGAAGGGGATTGTTAGTAATGTGTATTAATAACCCCCTGCTAGCAATGCACCACGTTAGCTTGACCTCCTCGCGGTTCCCCCTGGAAACCATCATGTTAAGTTTCTGGTGAATTTGGCACGATGGGCTAATTGACCTGACATCATGCTCATCTTATCATCCTCCACTGGTGGCCCGCCAACGTAAACCGTTAGGCTACATGTTCTTGATCGAATTTATTTTTAGATTTTGCTGTAGAATTTTGGCGGCGCCAAGCAAATGAACTTGGCTTACCTTTTACTGTATACCGACCGGCCGCAAAACCGATATGCGTTATCACTTGGGAGGGCACCGACACGACCTTACCCAGTATCATGCTGAATTCGCACATGGATGTCGTTACTGTATATGAAGTAAGTTAAAGATTTCATAGAATCGATTACTATTAGCAGCTGCGGTTTTGAATTAATGAAAGTATCTAGCTAGGGTTCATGATTTCTCGAGCTTTACAATTTCTCGGGTCTCGAGAATTCTTGAGGTTAATTTCTCGGGTCTTCTCGGGTTGTCGAGAAATTTACATTTACGTACGTTTTCTCATATTATTTGGTTCCAATAACGTCAAAAATTCAGTGGTTTTCCTCTCAAATAAAAGTATCAAATTAATTATAAAACATTTATTGAGTATATTTAAAAGCATTATACATATTATGAATAAGCTAAATATTTAAAATAAAAGACAGAAATATATTATTAGGTCCTTACATATGAAATTAACATTTTGTCATACTGGCCACTTTGATCTAAAATACCTTTAGGAATTCCAATTTCAAATTTATACGGCTATTCACTCATGCATTTGTTTTTCGAAAACCGTAACCCATTTGGCTTTACCATTTTTGGTTTTTTATTTGGGTCACTCACTTTACAAAATGAAAAACTTAAAATATCACGTCATTTAGGAGTACAAGTACGAGGTCCGCCGTGGCACCAGTGCTGCAGAAACGGCTGGAAGGATTAATGATGTGTCGCAAAAGAAAACACAATGCATTTTTGGTTCCAACGTTTTTGTTCTGGAAATTTCGAAAACCAATCCCCATGGGCGGCCCTTGTCCAAGGTTGGTAATGAAGAACTGAAGACTATTGTGGAAGCGGATCCATTGCAAACCACGTCCAGGTTAGTTGCAGGTTGCGGTGTTAGTTACTAAACTATTTTTAATCCACTTGTAGCAAATTGGTAAGGTGAAAAAGCATGAAAGTAAATCGACAAACGCGCGTAGACTGCTGCGTTACATTAGTCAGCCGGCATAATAATAAAGGGATTTTAAATCGAATTATTACCTGTGATGAAAAATGGATCTTGTATGATAATTGGAAACGCTTATCGTAATGGCTGAACCCTGGTAAACCAACCAAATCCTGCCCCAAGCGAAAATTAAGTCAAAAAAAGTTACTTGCGAGCGTTTGGTGGACTAGTTCCGGTGTTGTTCACCTCAGCTTTCTTAAATCTGGCCAGACGATTACGGCAGATATTTATTGTCAGCAATTGAGAAACCACGATGGAAAAGCTAGCTGCTAAACAACCAAGGCTGGTCAATCGCCGTAGGCCACTGCTGCTTCAGGACAACGCTAGACCACACACAGTTACCAAATTAGAAGAGATTGAATTGTAATGTCTAATATAACCACCAGATCGACTCCAACAGATTACCATTTTTTTCGAAATTTGGATAACTGATTGGGAAAATATTCAAATCCGATGGGGCAGACCAAAGTGCCTTCAAAGATTTTATTGATTCCCGTCCAAATGGTTTTTTAAGGGCAGTGGTTAATAAAGGGATCAATGAAATACCTATGAGATGGCAAAAGTGCATAAATAGCAATGGTATATACTTGGATTAAATAAATATTATATAATATTTTGAAAAAAATTACTTCAGTTTATTCCCTTACAAGACGCCAATTTCATATGTTAGGACTTAATATTATTCAGATTTATATTTATAATAGCACCATTTTTGGCTGGTTATTTAGAAAAAAATCTACTTAAAACTTGTAAACAAAAATAATTTCTTTAAAATACATGAAAAAAAACCTTAATATTAAAAAACCTTAACTTGTTGCGCCGCCACGCAACAAAATAAACGGCAATTTAATTTATATATAGGTACATGATATCTCGAGTTCTCGACTTTTCTCGAGCTTGATTTCCCGGGAACAACCCGGGAATTCTCGAGTCGAGAATTCCCGGGACTGAATGACTGAATGAACCCTACTAGGTACCTATCAACTTATATTATAATACCAATTAGTTACATAATAATGATGTTTTTTATTACCCGTAAAGTAACGAATTACCTACTACATAAAATATATGGACGCTTGATGTCGGGAGATTTTGTAAGGAGCGTGCATTCTGTATTTTTTTATACTGTAGGTATATATATAAAAATAATAATATATTAATTATCTGTAGACAGATTGGTCCTATCCTCCATTTTCCGGCCACATAGATGAGAATGGTGACTTATATGGTCGTGGCACACAAGATACTAAAGATGTCGCCATACAATATTTGGAGGCCATCAGAAAACTTAAAAACGACAATATAACTTTAGAGCGGACTATACATCTTACATTAATGCCAGGTCTGTAATAAATTATTAAGTTTTTCGGAAAGTATTTTCGTTTTTTCAGATCAGAAAATAAAATTAAATCGAAATTTTATTTTATTTTTTCGGACCCAACTTCACACTTAAGGCGCATAATCATTTTATGTTTTAAGAGCTGATACAGCAAGGCTTGCGTATGAAAAGGTTTAATTGGCGAGTTGATTCAATTTAGTGGGCGAGCCTAACAAGGTGATCTCTCTCAAATTAATTTTTGGTTTCAGTCAGAAATATAAATAGCCTTCAAAACTTTTATTTGTGTTATTCAGACTTGAACTCATTGCCGTGTTAGTAAACAACTATGCAGGTAGTTAGGACGATAGAAGTGATAATACGTAGATAATATATCAATGACAGATGTTTGAAGTGTTTATCAGTCTTTTGTTTTTGTAGATTATTATTTGTACAACAGTGACAGAAAGCAATTACATAAGCTACTATATCTTCACGTGCATCCCTTACCAACCTACTTTTACCTATTAGTTATAGGAATAATAATTCAGTAGGTACCTAATCTGCAAATTTGCTACAAACTTTGTCAAGGTTACAGATGTACTACTAATGCTGTTGGTCGCAGCTGGCCATTACTTAGATATAGCTTCACTGGATGAAATAAGTAAAATCGTGTAATTCCAGGAAAATATATTATAGACCAACTAATATAGAGAGATAAAGGTAATAATAATATTATTATTACTTTCATATATTGGTATATGAGTTGTATTTTTTTCTTTATAGACGAAGAAACAGGAGGCTTCGATGGAATGATACCTTTTGTAGAGACTGCAGAGTTTAAAGCACTTAACATAGGCTTTGCACTGGATGAAGGACTGGCGTCAAATGATGATTCGTTATTGGCCACGTATCAAGATAAGAGGCCATGGAGTGAGTGATATTAAAGCTTCACACTTTGGATGTGGCGCTAACTCTATTTTCACAGCCACACACATTTTTTTGTAAATGAAATGGCAAACTAGCTGACTGATCCCCTGATGGTAAACGGTAACCATCATCTGTCATATGAACCGTATGCAGTATAAACAGGACAACAGACATCATGTAATCTTGTAATAACACCTGTACCTAATACAATTCATGCATGGCCGTTCCAGAGAACTAAGGTGTCATGCTTCTTGTCATGTAATTTTACTGATCAATCTAATAACACTAATCGCATTCTACAACCTAATCACAGCTTACAAACCAAGATCGCAAGCGACTTTCTTTTACAATTTATCTCTGTATAAATTACAGGGTTCAGTTTACATATAATGTACATAACAATGTAATATGTATAACCATCGTGATAAATTCCTGGCTAATTTGTCACGATGGGCTAACTGGCCTGATCTCATATCAGGCCAGTTAGCCCATCGTGTCAAATTAGCTCTCATCTCTCATCATTAAATCTCATCGCTCATCTTATCATACTCCACTGGTGCCCCGCCAGAGTAAACTGTCAAAGCAGGCAAGTGAACTACTTTAAAAATGACTGCATAGGGGTTGTAGAAATTTTTAGACCACTCAACCATAATCTGCTACGGCGCCTCACTTCTCGATCAATTATAATAAGGGCTAGAAAAAATATTACTACTAAATTTTATTTTTTAATAGTGAATAGAGAAGTTTCTATCTTTTAATGGCTAATAAATTGATGTGCTACTTGTTTTCAGCAATGGAATTTAAGTTACACGGTGTGAGCGCCCATGGGTCAGTATTATCGAATGGGAGTGCTATGGAAAAGGTATTCACAAAATTTTAAATTATGACAGTAAATAACTAAAAAAATATAAATTATTATTACACTTGCACTTACACAATTATAGCATAACATTAGAATAAGTACATCCTAAAAAATGTAAAGATGCTCTACAAATATATATAAAAACCCTAAAGTTTGTGATCATAGGTGGATGGATATTTATTATCTTTTCGCTCAAGAACTACTGGATGTATTCGAATGTCAGATTTACACCATGGATATTTATATTTATATACTAAGGAATTAATAAAATCCAGTACCTTGTCTTTTACTTGGGAGAGCGTTAGACGCAGTGACGAAGTTAGTTGGTGTCTTTATAGTAAGCTTATCATTGGGCTCCATAAATATGGTCAAGCGCAATGATGGCTGGCTCATCCGTCATACTCGTGAACGAGTGCTTCTTGTAGGGACTGGTCTGCTCTTATCACTACGACTGATTTAATCTTAATGTATATTTATATTTGACCCTAATAAATTAGCGCTGGTTGGTAGTTTGTATTCACACGTTTCGACTTGTAAATGTAAATTTACAAGGATTATTTAAAAGAGCAACACACAAGTTTCTTGTTCGTTCTTCTTGTGATGAGACAGCTTTCCGAACAAGCGGTAGATAAAAAAAAATGTTATGACTATTCAAAATTGCTTAAATTTAGTTTATTTGATTAAATGATTTTCTATTCTATTCTTAACGTAGGTACTACATTCATATACTTTACATTGAAGGTAGTCATATATTACTGATATTTTATCATACATTGTACCTACATATTGTAGATGTGTTTGTGTTCATTAGAAAAAATCTGTTATATATTCCGCGGAAATTTATAGGTATGTATTATGGGAAATATCTTAACTAATTATCATTTTACAGCTGCAGAAGTTGATCGATATTATTATGGAATTCAGAACAGAACAAGAGAAAATAATGGCTAGTAGAGATGCGTTGGATTATGGAGAATACAGTACGATAAATATTAATATTATACAGGTAGGTATATATTAGATAATAGAATTGTATGTTTTGAAGTATTTATTTACTATTGTAAATTTAACATAAACAGAAATAGTCTCTTGTACTATAATGACTATTATTATGTAAGCCCATTTCTCGCCAAATATTATCATATTTCAACGTGACACGTATGAACTTAGTTCTTAAATTAATATTAATATGGTATGGTTTATTAATAATATTTTCTGTCACCAGAGAGTTAAATATATGAATTGAAACAATGTTTTTAGTATTATTATAATTTATTACTTATTAGCTTTAGACTTTTTGCATGCCACAATTTGGTCCAAGTCAAAGTGGGCACGTTTTCTACCTCTCGTATTTGTTCGTACTATCCTCTACGAAAAACGGTCATCCTGTGGGTCCGCGGTACTCGGCGTCTCGGCGGTAGAGCACGGTAGTGCCTAAACTATAGACACCGTACGTATCGACATTTAATAGATATAGATAGATAATAGACTCATTATTTGTCGGGGATGTAAACCATTGACCATATTCCCTGATCCAACGTTAACTAAAATGAGTTGTTACAATATTACAGGCTGGATTGGCTCGCAATATAATACCCACTAACATAAAAGCAGTCGTCGATTTGAGATTGGCAGCATCAGTAGATGCTGAAGCTATGTTAGCTTTGGTATGTGGAATATCTATTATATATATATATTTTTTTTATCTTTGTCATACTTTATTCTTTACACTTATTTATTGCAGTATCAGAAATACACAAAAAGCACATGCATACAGAATGTGGTAAAGATACAATTATTTTGTGACGCCCTGAAAGAACATGGCAGTATAAGCACAGAGCCTCATAATATTATAATATTGTATGTTAAAACTTAAAAATGTTATATTATTTATGATGAATTTTTGATTGCCGTTTAAAATTAATGAAACGGCTAACGGTTTCATATACAATAATTAAAAAACGTACACCATAAAACGTGCCGTATTACCTGTATAAAAAAACGAAATCGTAACTGAAAAAAGTCTGTATGTTGACTTTGCACATAAAAACTACTGAAGGAATTAGGATTATTTTTTACAGAATATGTTATGTTTATACATTTGTATATATATGGTCAACATATACCTATGTATATACAAATGTATAAAGAAAGGCATAAATAAGCATTTTTTCTTATTGTTTGTTACGTTGTTCTTATTGTTTCTTAATGTATACGAATTTTTATAAATTTTATAATACCAAAATAGATGGCGTTGTATAAATACTTTTCTAATATATGATCTTAAATCTTATATATAAACTAAATAATCTTACTAACATATGTTATATTTAAACTATGCAATATAATGTTATCTGTGTTTAAACTGTTGACTACATATAGCACAAAACCGGCTTAGTTTAGGACTGGATGAACTATAATTAGGTATGCAGTTATAATCAGCCAATTTGAAGAAGTATATGCCTCATATCGCCTCAATATGTATCGAGCACGTGTTGTATGTAGTTAATCGTCTTACTGTTTAATCTAAGTAAAGTAAAGTAAGTAAGTAATATTACTTGATAGTAATTTCTATGTAAAATCCACAGACAAAGGAATGGACTGAGCACGCTGGTAATGGTACCGAACTGTCGTTTATCCGATATTTCACGGAGTCTGCAGCGACATCTATTGGTGATGATAATAAGTACTGGCTTGCTATGCGGGAAGCTGTCAACAATTTGTAATTTTTTTTTTAAAAGTGTATTTTAGGTTAACAAGTGAAGAACACAAAATAATAATAATTAGAATGTTTGTCTATACATCTGTACGTGTGTGCGCGCTAATATCAGAAACGGCTTAACCGATTTGGGTGTGGTTAACTCCACTTAAAAATTATGAACTATTATTACTCCGAATACCACTGCACGGGAACGAAGTCACGGGGTCAGCTAATGATATATACATATATATATGCATATAACATTAGGACTTTCGTGCAACGGGTTTTATTATGGACTATAGACATTGTGGTGAGCACAGCCGACACATTCTGCGGGTATATTTGGAACCTACGTGACAAGTCTAGATCTACGCCGTCTCTCAGATTAGTCTATAGTGGTTTGTTCTCAGTTTCCCTCCTTAAATTGATTTACAAAATTTTTAATGTCGCTTAAATTAAAAATCTATTATCTACTTATGGCCTTTCGGTCTAAGCCCGGGCTGTTGTTATATTTTAAGAATAATATATTTTATTTTTATTACAGGGGTATTGAAATTACGCCAGTAGTATGCCCAGCAACTTCAGATATGCTCATTTTGCGGAATAAAGGCATACCAGCCATTGGGTTTGCTCCTAAATCTCATACAATTTCACGTATACATGCAGCTGATGAGTATTTGAATGTAGCCACCTTCCTCAGAGGTATCGACGTGTATGTGGCTATTTTGCAGAAGTTAGGAAACTTGCAGTAGTGTTTAAATGTAAATAAAAGTACGTATCTAAATCTAGCTATATGCTATATTTAGATACGTACTTTTGTTTACTTTAGAGCTCCTACACTCTCTGTATGTGTATAATACTTTTATTTAATAAAAGATTTTATTTCTTCCATTTTCAATATGATACTTTTAATTTTTGATTTCATAAGAATGTCTTATTCTTTATATAATAAACTTACATATTTTCTTTACATTTTTTATTGTACTTCGAAAATCCCTATCATATTCCATTGAATCAGATTTTATTTCGTCAAGGTTCAGTACTGTGGCGACTTGAATTTCACTGGAATTTGTATTAAATATATTGGCACATCTTGACGCCGAATTTTAACATCACAGAGCAGAAAAATCTGTTCTGTGATCGACATCATGTCTCTCTGCTTAGTTCCTTATATATATACCTACACATACTAACCACTACCTACGTCTTTGTCTTCCTTTTTTTTAGATAAAAAGTTTTTCCTCATGTATCCAACTTTCACAATCAACACATTAGGTACCTTTTTTAAGATTGATTCAGCTCGTTTACTCCTGAAAAGGTAACAAACAGACAGACACACTTTACTTTCACATCTATATTATTAGAATGGATGGATTAATATAGATTAGTTGTCTCACAGTAGGTATATATCTACTGCACGGAAAAGTGCCAGTGACAATGTATTTTTTTACTTTATTCGTATCAATAAAAACTGATAGTATATCTAAATATATAGTTACATGTTATTTGTTCACTCTTGAACCACCGAGATAATACCTATATGTCTCACGTAACATATCAAAGATTGGAATGTTTTATGCACACAGATAATCGTACTATATCCCATATGAGTATTTTTTTTATTAAAATTGTTAAGTATTACTATAAAAACCTAAAAATCTTGGGTTAAGACCACAGCTAACATTTATATTACCTATTTATAACCTAAATTGAATGGTGACGTATTTTTTTACTTGATGATTATAGTGAAATTATATTTTTTTATAAGGTAAGTTTCATTATTTATCTTACTAATAGATATTATAAACGTGGAAGTTTGTAAGTGTGAACAGATGGGTGGATGTTTGTTACTCTTTCGCGCAAAAACTACCGAATGAATTTTAATAATATGGATAATATGTAGGTTACATTGAACACTTAGCTATATATCTCACGTTAGTAAGACCGCGGGTACAGCTAGTATTTACATATACGTACGGTACGTAAATTACTTTTAGTAGATTAATCGAATTAGACAGTGTCGTAATTGGTCAATTATAAAAAAAAATGTCTTTAAGTGAGGGATACACTTTTATGCAGAGAAATTAGAGTTCATGCAGATATATATCTACCTACATCATTGATCGTATTATTAGGAGTACGACGGGTCTGGTGTAGTAAGCTACATAAACTGCGATGGTAGTTTATCAACAGAGTCGAGCAATAATTAATTTTGTCCGAATTGTTCAATTTGGATAACGTCTTGGCGTATAGATCGAGGTAGTAACGCCAAGTCGTACTACCTCGATCTATAGTAAAAGTTCGTGTGAGTTTCAAATCAGATCGCCTCGAAAAAAACTTAAATTTGTAATGGAAACACCGACAACAAACCACACAAATTACAGGTTCAGCGGTAGGCTCGCTTCATACCACGTTGAGTACAAATATCGGTACGGAGCGAATTTTTAAAACAGTACATTATATAGGTACCTAAATAAAAAACAACCACACCAATACAAACAATCACTCATGAATGTTTGCATTGTGTGCGAGGATCGAATCCACGACCCGAAAATAAAGCGGTACGCTAAACTACTTGGCATAATGGATTGTTAATATTGATAAAATCAAGATGTAAATAGGTATATTCATGTTATTTGTTACTAAAATAATATTTTTCAATTGCAAAAATCATAAAATGTCTATTTCCTTAAATCTATTGGAAATATTTTGACGGAATTCATTAATTTTATGAGTAAATATTTTTATGAGCTTTATATTTTGCCAAAAACTAGTTTCATCCCGAAATATAAAACACATTAAAAATATTTTTGAGAGCCATACGGAAGAAACGCCAAACCTGTGCCTAATAAGGATAATATAAAACAAAAAACGTATACTTTTGACTATGAAAAGCCTTTGTTTTTATGAATAAGAAGAATGTGAACAAAACATCTTTTGTCATGGTTATGAAATATAAAGTATTGTATGTTAAATAAACATTGAATAAATTATATTTTAATTTATGTAGATATTTCTAACTACTAGGTAATACAGTCTGCTCGCTGTATCATTATGCGAAGGACAGCTGACATAACAACATTTTTATTAAGAAGGATCTGCATTTAGTGAGATTTTTGTTATTATATAAGTCAATATAATTAATAATCAATTGTAATATTTTCACATAATCAAGGATCACAGTAAGCCTTCTTAAATAATTTTTACTTTAGACATACAGGTATGCATATAAGCATGGTACATGGCCATGTTTTTATGGATAATAAATAAATGGTACACTTGCCTGCTCTAACAATACGCCGGAGCCAGAGGAAGAAGAGATGTTAAGTATGAAGTTAGGTCAGTTAGCCCATCTTGGCAAATGGCAATTTACCACGATGTTTACTAGGGGAAACCGCGTAGAGGTCAACCTGACATAGCACGTTACTAACATTGGGGTTTAGTAGTCCACATTACTAACGAACACCTTCTCCGAATGGTAAATTCATGTTATAAACATAGGTATGCAAAGAGTATTCATGATCTTATCGCATTATGTCAGGTTGCTAGGCTTAGGAGTAGGTACGAATAATAATATATCTTAAATATAGGTATTAGATATATTATATATAAAGATAGAATGCTATAAACTTTTTAGATAACCTGTTAATGGTACAATAAACTTATTTCCGCTATATAAATACATATTAATTTGTTATAATATTGCACTTTGTAATAATTCCTTTGTTTGTTCATATGTATAACTTGTAAGATGCAGTGGATACTACTCAGTGTAATTTATTATGGATTGTACGGAGTAAATGCTCTTGATTACTCCAATTACCCAGCGATACAACGATTTCAAGAATATATTCAAATAAATACAACTACGGGTGCTAATCTGAGTAAGTTATAATATATTTTTAAGTACTATATACTGTTGTATTTTAGACGTTAACAATAATAAGCAAAACATAATGATCAAGCTCTTTGTAAATTTTTTAAGTAGTATTTAATACTTAAATTGATTTTTCAATATAAAGAACGAGAGATCTTATTAGTGGATACACGATTTTGCTTCTGAAAAGAAAGTAATGACAATGAAAATATTATTTCATTCATTCAAAGTCTTCCACTAAGCCGAGCTTGTAGAAAACAACTGATAAAAAATACTTAAATACATGTTTCGTAATTACTTGGAATACATATAGACCAATATAGACAAATATAATCAATCTTACTCAGGAATACAAATAAATATATAATATTGTGCGAGAATCGAATCGCGACCATTGGCTGTAAGATGGAACCGCTAGAGCAATGAAGTCGAAAGTTTTCCAAAGCTAGACAGAAATACTTAAGTACCTACTTATTTAAAAAACACAAATTATTGAACACTTATTTGAACCATTAAATGGTAAAAAAAATCGTATCTAATTATTTAAATTTATAAATACCCTTAATAAATATAATTATATAATATTATAATAGCCCCAGCTGTCGAATTTTGGACTCAGTTGGCTGAAGAACAAGGTGTACCCATAAACGTTTATGAATATGGAGAAGGTTATCCCATAGTTGTTTTAAAATGGGCTGGACAAGATTCTTCGCTGAATAGTATTCAACTTAATTCTCACATGGATGTTGTACCCGCAGATGAAAATGTAAGTATAGCGTATGTTCTTCATTACAGATTTTGTTAGAGGGTAAGCACGTGTTATACTTGTAGATATAACCAATACTTGGTAGGTCCCGAATTGAATCCGCAAAATAATCTCAGTTTTTTGTGCTCATCCGAGACTTATCATATGTTATTAATAGTTTTGTTCATAGTGATTGGTATTATTCTACGATTACAGTTTACCGGATTAGTTATAGGTAATATATAATAGTTATAAATGATAATATATTGTTTATCTTATTTGAATATAAGACTATAAATAATATAAATAGACAATAAATAATATAAAATTTATATATAGATATTTTTATCTAGCTATTTTTATATTCAACAGCGTTAATTATAGCCCAAATAATGAGCAAACTGTAACTAAACTGGGCTACTCGCCATTCGAAATAGTTTTTCCTTTTATTTATTTTTTCTATTCTTACAACTGTTTGTCACAATATATACGCATATTGTAAAGGGAAAGGTAGTTTATGTGTAGTAGTATTTTCAGATTTTCATTTGTCTATAGCAGGCTACTTTATAAGCAAGTCACATCGCTTTTATTATCCCCATATAAATCAGTAAACAAAATAAAATAATTACAGGAAGGATGGAGTTATCCGCCATTCGGCGGAGTTCTTGCAGAAGACGGAAACATCTACGGTCGCGGTACGCAGGACATGAAGTCGGTCTCCATTCAATATTACGAAGCATTAAGTGGAATAAAAGCTAACAATATTACTCTTTTGAGGGACGTATATATGACACTTATGCCTGGTAAGTTCGGCTTTGTGATATTTTTGTACATTGTCTAGACACTGAAGATCCCAATTAATATAGGTTTAGATATAGACTGTTACTGAAAATTTTGTCCACAAAGATAGTCCAAAAGCCTATCTAACGGATTTGTTAATGAAATAGACCTTTTTTTCAGTACCTTCCCTCATTTAATTGTAATAAGTCAATAATCACTAACAATAATATAATTATCATTACCATATAAATTGTGACTTATTTTTACGATATAAATATTTTTTGTCTTCATCATAATTTGCTTCTAAACGTAATAGGTATATGTTCTAATTTACTTGCTGTAATAATCTTTAATAGGCACTAGATCTAATAATAGTTCTTTAATAGGCATTCATTTCATCATTCATTCATCTTTATTAGAACTATCTAATAATAAAACTGTAACATAATTTTTGTTGTTTATAAATATTTACTAGACATGGTCTCTAGAAGTTAATAATTCGTTTGTTAGATGAGGAGGTGGGTGGCGAAGACGGCATGATACCATTTCTACAGAGCGACGAGTTCTCTGCAATGAACGTAGGCTTGGAATTAGACGAAGGAACGTCTTACCCGATACCTATCATACCACTCTTTTACCAAGATAAGGTTGTTTGGCGTAAGTATATCTATAATGCATACATATTCTAACAGACATTGACAAGGAATATAAGTACAAATCTACATGGGAATATCTGTAATGTCTCAATGCTCAGAAAACATCTCTTCCCATAGAAGCTGGTACTCCTATATAGGGTTAAAGTGGAGCAATAGCAACCACCATGACTATCTTGTAACATGTAATATAAGTAGTACCTACTACTAATAGTTTTTATCATTTATCTTAAATTGAATCATAAACATAGAAGTTAACAAATATTTCATTATCACAACGGCATATTTACACCGGGATACATGATCGAATAACAACGAGATCATTATTATTAAATTAATTTAAAAATTCAATAATAAATTTTCTCTAAATATATTTCGATAGATATAGAAATATCACGTTTGCAAAAATATAATACCTATTCGTTTACTTTTTAATTATAGAAATTAAAGTCGATTGTCACGGTGTAGCTGCACATGGTTCAACTTTTCCTGCAACCAACACGACTGCTACTGGAAAGGTTATTATCGTTAATATCTACGTGTAACTATATATACCCTCAGCAAATGTGGGCATATCACGTGCTGCCTTCACCGCTATGTTGTAAGTGTTGAGTGCCTGTGAATACCTCATCTAAGATTGCAAACGTGCAAATGGAACAGGCGTTCAGTGTATAGTTTGTATGATACCTAAAGGTATATTCTATTTTATTAAAAGCATAAATTATTTTAATCAAGGGGTAATTTTTTCTTATTTTAAATACTATGGTTGGATGGATTGGTTAAAATGGGGTATAGTGACTGCGTTGCTTAATACATCACGTCAAGTATCCTCTTCCTCACCCAAATCCAGGAAATTCGTCATCATTAGATGTATTAAAACCATATTGCCAGGTCATTTCACTCGAATATGCAATGGACGTAGGCAAGTTAAAGAAGGATAAGAAAGGTAGATAAAAATAAAATGGGTGAAGTATAAATTAATAGAAACTTCAAATATAGTTTACTGTCAAAAAATTGTATTTATATCTAGTATTTCGGTAACTGATATCGTAATTGGATATAATCTATATTTATTAACAGGTAAAACTGTAAATCAAAACTTCTAAGTAACGTATTATATAATACTATATAGTCAATTACAAGTAGATAATTTATATATTTGATTAGATTATAGTATGGTAAAATCAAACGCCAAGAAGCCGACTCCCTGATAAGATTTATTTTATGGGATATGAGTCATGGTTTTTTCTATTTTTAAATATTATATCTCAGAATAATTTCATCGCAAGCTAAGTAGAGCTTATGTTATGAGTATTAGACAACTGATCTAAATACATAGTTGCATTTTTTAAAATAAATATGCAGAGGACATCCAGACCGACGCAAACATACTCATGGATACAAATGTTTGTACCAAGGCGGTATGCTAAATCTCAAGACCATCGAGTAAGATCAGTTGTTGTTCTTGTTTCATTGTTTGGTTTTATAAGAATTTTAGAAAGGCTAAGATGGGGCATGGCACAAAAAAGGTTGGGAAACACTGCTCTAGCTGTTTGTTTGACATTCTAATTACATAAAAGAGACAACTCTCCTATTGGACCGCATTATTACTTTGCTTTTTCTTGTAATTCCTTATAAGTTATAACCACTAATTTCTCCAATTATGTTTTCAATATGTTGCAGTGTCGTAATGTAATCGATACTCTACTAAAGTTCAGGGACGAGCAGTATATCATTTCAACATCGGCATCAATATTTGACGCCGGCGTGTATACATCAGTGAACCTTAACAGACTGAACGTGAGTATAAATCAACAGATTATTTATTTACATAATGTAAATAATTTTACTAACATAACAAAAATAATTGACAATAACAAAAAAATAAAAACATAATTATTACAATAAGGAAGTTACTTATACTTTATATATTTATTTTTATTTTATTCTAGGGTGGTACTGCTAACAATATCATCCCTAGCCTTGTTAGCCTCACATTCGATATTCGACTGGGAACCCGAGTGAATGAAGATGCATTTCAAGCACAAGTAAATATCACATTATAATAATAATAACCGATTAATAGTTGTGGTTACTGGACTAAACTGAATTAAAAATAGTTTATTATTTAAATACATATATACAGTATATATAGTAGTAGTATAGTGTATATATATACGTAGTAAACAGCCATACCGTACGTACTAAAAAGCAAACTTATAAATAGAAATGTTTGCGCCGTGGAAAGAATCAAACCTGCTTACATCGGATATAAAGCAATGTGCTACACCCCTAGACCACCGATGCTTGTATTTGTTATTATAGCTATAGCTATTTTATATTATCGCTATTTAATATACCTACATATATTAAATCAGGTGTTCAATTAAGACTACAGTGTTGGGTGTTAGTTCAACGCCAGTAAAACTGTATAAATAATAGTTAACTCATAGAAATAGAACCATAGGCAGTGGAATAAATATTATGATATTTATAAAATAATTATGAATATAAATATATTTCACAGTTGGAGCAATGGATAGCGGAGGCTGGAGACAATATCATGCTAACCTATATATCAAAGAATCCACAGAGTCCTGCCACTCTGGTGTCCTCGTCCAATCCTTATTGGATAGCGATTGCTGAAGCGGCCCAAACATTGTTAGTACATATCTAAGTACTTAACCTACACATTTAATATGCTATTTTTTTTTAATTATACAAGCGTACTCAAATGCACACTCCCTTTGTTATTGATATCCTCTATAAAACTGTAGTACATAACTTTGCTGTATTGTCACCACGCCATCACATACAAGGATTTTATTGGTATTAATTGTTTGTTTGTCACGACGAGTTACATGTAGACATTTTTCTTTACTAACATTTTTGAAAATATTCTATCGCCTAATTTCATCAGAGTTAATTAAGTAGTCTCCTACATATATATTATTTTTTTTGTTTCGGAGCCTATTCAACACAAACAATCAATCTTTCCTCTTTATAATAGTTGTATAGATTAGTGAAACAGATTCTTCAGAAGTAAACTTTTTAGAAAGATTTCTGCGTGAACTTCGTCTAACGTTTTTTATGTATTGTAGATCACATAATGTCAGTGAAGTTCTTCCGTCCGTGATGCATATGGAAGACTGTTACTACTTGCTATCAGAAGGATCGTCAGCTTGATCGCGATTATAAGTGGAGCTCTTACATCCTACGTTCTTACATCAATCTTTTATTGTTGATACGACACGACTACATTTTACTTAAACTGCTTGATATAACTGCATCTAGATTTTCCCCTTTCCCCTCAAAAAATATATCTCCCCGTAAAGAAAGAAAATAAATGGCTATAATTTTGATTAAACCTACAGGAGGATACCAATAGTACCTATTGTACCACCGGGGTCAACAGACGCGCGACACGTACGACTGGCCGGCGTGCCCGCATTTGGCATCTCACCTATGGCGAACACACCTATGCTATTACACGCTGTCGACGAGTATATACCTGCGGAAACCTTCCTCAGGGGTATAGATATATATGAGCAAATCATCACGAACCTCGCAAACATACCTGGCAGTGAAACTTCCACGGACCCTAGTGTGTATATTGTTAAAACTGCTCTGTAATCTGATTTGACTGACCTGTATTAAATGTACCTCTACATATTGTTAATGTTTTATTTATTTATATAAACAACACGGACATTGGCTATACTCAGAAGGAAAATAACGGATTTTATAATATATTTTTCAAAAATAAAAACCTATAAAGTGACATATAGAAAGTTACACAGTATATTTTTTCGAAGTTCCGAGGAAATATTTATGTACATACAGAATATTGGAACTTCACTTTCAACGAAATGACATATAACTCCTTTAAGTTCCCTAGTGTCATATTACTATAGTTATTATTCAATCGAATTTGTCAATTTTTATTTGTCTAATCAATTATTATTTATGTACCTAGTCCTTTTTTATGGCGCAAGCCAATATGACGTGACTAGAATAGATATAGTATATAACAATTAAATGACCCCAATAAATAGCTTTAATATTAGATACCTCATACATTATTACAAATAGTAAAGTCGATGGTTTCAAATATATTATACAACTACATATTTGTGAAATATACGCAATTCGTTGATTATATTGTAAGAAACATCCAAACAGGAAAAAAGTAATTTGAGTTATCAAGAGACGTGACTTACCTAAATAACGTCATTGTACATTAAAAAATACCGCTTCTCTTTACGTTTGCATCTCTAAATCTTTGAACAAACAGTCGGCACTTCCCAGTAATGGGTGCCTTTCCATGCGAACGTGCCGCAACATTTTTAAAAGGACTTTTTCGCGACTCTCCTGGGTCTGTTTGTTTAGCAGGGCGACAATACTCACTTGTCAGGCTTTTAACGAGCAAATGAATTCTGCGGAATGATCTGAATCCGAGTAAACCGTTTAGCGTTTGTGAAGTGCCACAACGATATTTATATATGTACACCTACGTATAAAGCGAACATTTTAATTTTTTATTGCATGTTTGAATTAAAGATTACTTTTATTTGTATATTTAAATTGTATACATTAGTTTAAAATACAGCTGTTTATTATCTTTAGATCTCTTTTTTTCATCTTACAAAGATGAACTTAGAGAGAGCGATGTTTATAATTAGCCGAGTTCAAAGTTAATCAATATTATGATATGATTATTGAATAATTATTTTTGTTAAGTTTGTAATATGCATTATATTGGAGTCAGTCTCGAGGAAGACTAGTGCTATGGTCTATATTACCATTCATCGTGTGTTTATAAGGTTCCTAGTCATGATAATCCGAAAATTCATACACTATAAAAATAAGTCTAATACTAAACGGAACTACTGAATAATGGAATGAGTTGTTAATTTTTTAATATCAATGTTACATAGCACGGCAGTGGACCGCTGGGGGGCGCAAGCGTTAATTGAAATAAATTGTCACGTCTCGATGTCGCTGGCACATAAATCAGAGCGCTGGAGGCGACCAGCTAAGTGCCTGCTACGCATTGCTACGGCGTAGCAACATGTAGACACGGCGCTTGATTACTGTGAATTTAGTTTATGGTTGGATAATGTCGCATACGCTTTCAAGATATCGTTTTATTACTCTAAGGATTATTAGAAAGTAGATAATGTAAAGCAAGAAATATCGACTTAACATAACATTAATAGTCTGGTTGCTAATTTTAATTACTTATGTTATACTAGTATTATCTGCTTAAGACACTTTTAATTTTAGATAGGCAATTTAAGATTTTTTATCTATGATTAGACTTCAGAGTTTTAAATATGTACAAACGTCACGACTCAGCACTCGATCGGTTGGGGAGATATGTTCTATATATATAATGAAATAATACTCAATAGCAGAGTCTGCATACATACAAAAGGGTACCCCAATAACTCTACCCTACTCAACTCTCACATAACAGTGTCCTGCTTAAATGTTTTCTTATCATTGTGATCACTGTCTTCGATCCCTCGATCATCATAAAATTAAAATTAATATAGTTCGGTAATGTCTGTTCGTTCTCTACGTCATTATCCGAGGATGACGCTCTAAGAGACACCGCGAGACGAATTAATTCAGCCAAATGCGGTGAGGCTGGCGCGATTTTTACCCGTAGTGCTCATTTGTCACAAGTACAGGTGTATACCATCGCACCGTTAAAAGCAAACACGAAACCTGTAATAAACTCGGTCTGTACGGAGGAGGCATTCGCCTCCTTTTATTAGACGTTTTATTGAACTTATAGTTTTTATCTTTGATATACTAATTTACTTGTTTTTTCATACTTTTATAGCCATGGAAAATAAAATGTGCTATTTCCCAATGTTTATGCTATATGGGCAATAGTTAAAATACATGAACAGAAAATATAGAACATTCTAAGCATGATAAGAGGTAATTCGTAATGTTGTCATTCACAACGCAAAGAATATGTGTTACGTATATTAAAAAAACTTACACATATCCAGTTCAATTGTTACAGTGTTTTATCATTTTGAAAATTCAAAATATATTTTTAAAGAAAATATCAAAACGGTACATTAGCAAAATTAGGTTTATTTGACTGTTATTCTTATTAAAAATATTGCATATCAATGTAGTTTTAGATTATCTTTAAATTAATTGGTAAAAATGTAGTGTAGGTACAGAATATTTGTCAATAAAAAGGTATGTAGACAAATATACATATAATCAATCATGTGAGAATAAATTTATTTACAACAATTGATATTTACTTGTCCAAATTTTATAACTGTCACAACTCCTTAGTCGTTACTCGTCATATAATGATGCCGAATGAAGGGTAAAGAGCCGTGTTTTGATACAGAATGAGTTGTCATTACGTGTCTGACAGCACATTCACGTATTCAAAGATACGCAGGGATTTGATAATGAACCATTCGTTGTGCGAACTCGGTAACTATGAGTAAGTACGGTACTTCATATTAGGGTTGCCAGTAATTGTACATTATATAATAATAAAATATATATACATAAATACTTAATACTAATTTTACTCCTCCACTGTGCTTGTTAAGTAGTCAATAAAATTAATATTTTTACCATTTGAATGCATTTATTTTTAATATTATATTATTTTCTACGTAGTTAATTACTTTTTGTAACTCTTGCCTGAAATAAAACATATTCCTGAAAAATAATTTAGCTAACCCAATTATTGTAAATACGATGGGGCTAATTAATTTGAATCTGTTAATTGCAAGGAAGAAAATTAATGAAATAAGCTTTCACTCATGACATCTATTAACTAAATCGGTTATATTTGTATATAACCACACCTATAATCAATACCAGGATAAATATCTCGTCTATGTTTGCGTTTAATATATGTAGGTACTGACATAGATATTAAATGAAAAATAAAAACGAATGTCAAATATATATATAAATTTTATTGCAATCAACGTTTATGCATTAAAAAATAATATAAGACACGTGAATGCAAACAAATTTTGTGCCATTATAAATAAGGGACGTGAGGAGCCCTCTGACAATGGTGTGGTCACGCGCGTATTATTTGATTTTTTCCAAGTGCTCCTAAGCATCACCCCTTTCATTTTATGCCGGTCGTGCATATGTTTTCTCTTTTAAAATGAACAATTGCTACTATACAGCGAATAAAAGATTCAAATATTAGTTTAAAGTTTAAGTGTTTATCTCAGATTTTAGTTTTATTCGTCAGATTATTTTATAAATAATGGCGTGTGAAACTCCCATGGACATATTTAAAATTTTTTGAAATACTTTCCCCGATATTTTATACTGGAATTAGTATTTCAAATATTGAAACTGATTTAACAATACTGACAGTTTCACAGGTGAAAGTCATTTATTACTTAAGTTTTGCAATAGATACTTACATGGAATAAATATTTACATTAATGTTAATTAAATACATGTTAATTATTATATTAGCGTAGAATAATTAACAATATCATAAAATATTGTGTCTTACTGCTCTATCTAGTATTACTATGTGATAAAAGTGTTAACAGTGCTATAATAATTACATTTTATAGAAAAAATCTTCAAATACGTGAATATTTCTGACATTTTTTGTTACATTTATGGTGAATTGATATTCATCAATTTATTAGTAGATAAGAATACGTATTCTGTACCGATTACAATAATAGCCTATTCTTACTATTTTAACAATAAATAACATCAGGTGTAAAAATGAGATTGAGAATTGGAGAAAATTATCAATTATAAAAATATATAACAACTAGCTTTTACCTGTGGCTTCGCTCTGACTTCCTTACTGGCTGCTAGATGGTGCTGATTTATAACTTCATTACTGGCTCCCAGATGATGTTAAAGTAGCAAAACATTAATATTTTTATTTTGTTTTTTATAAAAACTATATTTGTTTTTTTTAATAATAATCCTATGTTCATTTTAAATACCTCCAAGAACATATGTACAAAATTTTATGATGATCAATTCAGATGAGCGTAATTCAAACAGGTGTAATAAAAACAAAAATTCTGAAAGTCTTTGAATGATACGATATGAATATTTATTTATTTCTCCAAAAAAATTAACATAAATATAAATAACAATAGCATTCATACTATTATAAAATATTTAGGAGACTGGACCTTGAACTTCATATAAGATCTGTATCTTAGGAATCCTAGACCCCATCTCATACGCAATTTGGTAACTTAAGTGAACTTAAAGAAAATTAAATATGATAAAGAGCTTTAAAAGAATATCATTTTAATCAAGTAACAATAATGTAGATTATAGGCCGCAGTAATATGTTAATCAGTGAATAACACCGGTCTTCATTACGAGTATCGTTTCAGTCAGACGAATTAGCGTAATCCAAGTTGAGTTGAAATAAGGAAATAGTTAATGCAATAGGAATGAATAAAGTCCAAAGTACTATCGCGTGCGAGCCACTCCTCACCGGCTCGCTTCTGGATTATCTCCCACTATATACACACCGAGCCGTGCTATTGAGAGGACTAGGATTTGGGGAACGTGGACGTCTTTCAACTACCGACAAAAATAAACAAAGGCCATGTGCAGATAAGCTATTTTATACTATTAGCACATTATTAGACACGTTTATAGGATTGTGCATTAAAATGTACAAGTGCTGTTAAGTAGATTACTTAAGTTCTATTGTAATGACAGACAGAATGACAATTCTAAAAATGTACCATGGAATTTTGGAACTTGTGATTCTTTGGCTGAAAGGTGCCAAAGAATCCTAAGAAAACTAAGTTTCATTTTTGTTCTCACGCCAATTGTAGTTCAATTAAAGTTATTTAGTATTTATAGTATGAACTAAATCTATATGTATATGTATGTGTTTATATATGGTATACATAGATAATATCCCAACTAAATTAGATATCAAAATATGTAATGGACAATAATATATAATGGACAATATAAATATGGTATTACTAAGAGTACATTAAAAAACATTAAAAATTTGAGAGAACACTTTTAATATAAATAGATTGATTATAGATTTTAATAAATAACCTAAGCTATCTTTTTAAATTACGTTCACATTCTGCACCTGGGCATATTTCTATATAAGAAAGAAACTTGTTTTAATTGTACTTTTTTGTATGTTTATTTCTAATGGGATTTTAATTATTCTTTTCCAATTTATAAGGTTTATGAGTAATCGTAAACGATTAAATAAGAAAACCGTCAATCTTAAGATAATTGTGTTGAAGTCTCAATATTTACTTACGATTAGACTTCGATTTCCTTTTGAGGACCAAAATATATTTTTTCTTAAAGTTACCTTATTATCTTTCAAGTAATTTCTTACAGATTCAACATTACGTTCTTTATAATGTCTAATATATTATCTACATATTTTTTCTGATACCTAGTTTAACATTGAATTATTGAAATCAACATAAAGTTACACAAAAGCTGACAAGGGCTGAATGAATCAAGGTATTGCAAATAATCTTTGGTTAAATGTGAAAAGCGCCTAAGCACGTGGCAAGTTCGCTTAGTAGCTCGATCGTGCTCGAGCTTGCCAGCTACGCGCCGCCCCCTCGCCGCCGCGCCATGCGATTGGTTGCCGCCGCCGCCCAAACAATTAAGCTGCCTCTCACCCCGACGATCGACTTGACGTTTTAATGTTTACTCGACAGATAGTTTACACGATTTGTGATTTTTATACGGATCTGTGTAATTTTGGTAGGCGATATTTTCAATTAACATATGCTCATTTGGAAGGATGGACATCTTCCTTAGAGTTACTAAATTGGTATATTTTTAATAATATTTGTAACTCTAACATAATTTTTAATTTATTAGGTAATACTACTAACGCTATTATGGAAAAGTGATATAAATGATAGAATAATTTATCTTAAAACGGTTCGTTACTACATACGATGAAAAAGATATAAGCGAGTCGAAAAATATCTCAAAATAATAAAAAAGTGGAAAGTTTTCGAAATGAAATGTTGCGTAAACGTGGCCTTATCACGTAACGTGCCCATTATGTTTGCACGTAATTCGGTCAGATACGCCGCCGCTGATGCCGTGACAATGTAGCCTGTGGACCGGGACACAAGATGGGATCAAAGCTATCGCACTCGCACCCTAACAACCCACATAACCCTCTCCCGCTCAGGGGGTGGGACTCGGTGTAATCAGGGGATGATGTGACTCGCGATCTCCGCAGAGGCTTCAAAGATCACAATTATCAGAGCAGTCTGCCGAAAGCCGCGACTGGGTGGTGAAGTCATTTCACAAAAGTCATAAATTTCGTAAATATATTTTTTTTTCACACCACTGTCCACTATAAAATCTAAATGTTAACTGAGAGTGTATAGGGAATTTTTGGATATTTTTATAGTTGCCGAAAAAGTTTGTTAATTGTTTTACTAGTAAGTGAAAAATAATAATTATGTGTGTTAAAGGCAGTGGTAGTGCGTGTTAGATTTTTGTAGAGTAAGTAGACCAGCAGCCGAGCTGTCTGCCTTTTGGGAGAAGCAGCGGACGCCGGTAGTGGCCGTCCGGAGAATGGGAACAGGTTAGTGCTTATTAATTCACTTCAGTTAGTCTTACTGAACAACACAAGTTATCTACTTTAGAATATCGAAATTTGTTTAATTTATATTATATAATAAAGAATTCTTTTTAAATAAGAAATTTAAGAATACATCATACATACTACATGAACAACTAGTTTCATAGTTCAATTTCTTGTTAATGCTCGTAGGTACATACATTTTATATGATTTGTGATGAATAGAAAATATTATCTTAATACCATTAAAAATAACTTCTGTTTTTATAAACAGAATCTACCAATATAAAAGTATCTACTTAACAAATAATAAATCATTAAATACTACGGAAATCACTTACATATTATATTTATAGTATTATAAGTGTCTCATAAATTAGACAAAATAGCGGGCAGATGTCAAATACATATAAGCGTTTAGATCGATCGACATTAAGATATAAAATTCGAAAGCACTTCAAATTGACGGCAGATTTGACATATCCTAAAAGTCTGTAATAGACCTACGTGAATAAAGATATTTTGATTTGACATTATTATCCGTAGCCTAATTCTTACAACAATATCTAATTAGGTAATTGTATTGTAATAAGTATTGCTGTATACCTACTTAACTGTATGTCTAAATAAAGTAAAATATCCTATAACAGTTTTAGTAATTTGAAACAATATATGCATTTAATATTTTTAAACAAATAGTTTAGATTTCTATCTTGTCTCGTCAGTGCCTATAGTTTCTGTGGTTCATCTTGTTATTTCAGTAAAACTATATAATTCTGCCATTCATGGAGAAACCAATAGTTTATGACTCAGAATTATCCATACACAACGCGGCACCACTCATTATTCTTTCAAATTAAACAAGTTAATGAAATATTTTTTTATATTTTTCTATTCTTGCCTAAATTCTAAATTTTTATTAAGCAATCTAGAGGCTTTTACTATATAAACGATTAGGTATTTGGGAGAAAATTTTATACAGCGTTAGTTAATCGTTATCCTTCGATATTTTTGAAAAATTAGCCTTATGAAAAGTCATGTATTTTTTTCAAGATTGGAACTGATTCAAAATATATTATTTTGAACAAAAATTTTCTTGCCAATTCTTCTTAACGAAAGTAGCTAGTCGAACTGGATGGTAGGAATAGTGATAAAAAATTATGATAAAATTGCATAAGAGGCCTACAAGTCTCTATAGGTATGAATATGAATAAATATTTCTTGACTTTGACTTTCTTATATCCATACTATAGTTGCATACAATCTTTGCAAGGTTATAAAATACAAAAAAATATGGCCAGCCTTACCAAGAATGGTATGTCACATCTATGTGATTTTATTCTTTTATTTATATGAAATGGGACCACGTCAAATAAAAAGAAAACAATAATTTGTGTACCTACTTATATTTTCGATTCTATCGAATTAGGTACTTAATATCAGTATCATAACCATAACTTGGCTAACTATACTAAGTTGTAACATTGTGTGTACAGCCATCAGTAGTCGTATTGTTCGTAGTTAGTACGCAAATAAGATCGTGTAAGTTCAGTGAGACGGGACAAAGCCCGAGCGGAGTCCTCACTCCTCACGTAACTTAGGGACAGACCCGAAACTTCGTTAGTTGTCGCACCCTCGCCAGATTCCCTTATACAGTATGTTTTTGTAACGTTTATAATTAAAATAAGAACACAGTTGTGAACACAACTAAAGTGTAAATATAGATACATATTACTAAATAGAAAATTTCTTTGAAGAAATTGAATTTATTGGCAACAAAATTCTTTCATTATTTTTAAATTAAAATGTTTATTTTTAAAGTTTTTTAATTCCGCTATAACTGATATTCATAAGATTATAAGGCGGGTATGGTGTAAAAGGTTCTTCAAATTAGTTATGTACCTATATGTAACAGGGTATCTACTAGTAATAATCATTATTTCCTATCACATGTTGGATGTCTCACACCATTGATGGTTGCGCAAATAAACAAAGTCATTGTAATTCAGTAAGTAATTATTGTAGGTATAGCAGATAGAGTTTAGTGTAAAAATCTTTTCCTTATAAATATATTTTTACTGATTACTTATCAGATTACAGTTGTATTTTATGTATGGAAATGGACACTGCTCTGTTTTAAACACTTTTGAAGGTTGTTTACAATTGTAAATATTCCAATAATGTGTACAATTATGAAAATGAAATTATAATTGCTTTCACTACACTAAACTGTTGAGCACCAGATACTGTTGATGTACGAGTATAAAATTATGTAACTTTTTTGACAAAATTAACTTTTGAATATACCTAGATGTCATTTTTGCCACTTACTTCAAAATAAATTATCACTATCCCTACGTTTAGCTAATTAGCTACTTCAGTTAAGAATAGCTGTCAAAAATATAAACTGGTATAAACAATAGATATATATCCTAAAGGGCCTCTTTTTAATAATATATATTAGTTATTATATTATATTTTTTAAGGTTTATAATTTTAGGTTCTTAGTTGTACAATTAAGTTATGTAAATTAATTAATTAAATTGTAATTTTACTACCTATATTAAAAACTGTTATATACTTATATTCTTTTTAAACTTGTCACTTTGTTAATTCAGTTACTTTACAAACCTTAACCTACTTAAAAATATCTTTATAATTTAGATTACATTATTATAAATTTATTAACATAAACATCCTGTATACAAAGTTTCATGAAAATAGTAAGCATCTTATGTTTGGTCTTCATCTTAAGCCCACATAGTAGGGACATCGTGCGTCGGCAAATCAACATAGAGCTGATATTGTTATAGAACAAAGCTGTAATGTATTACGTTATCGACTGGAAGAGTCTGTTGTTGCAAAAGATTAAATTATATTCGATTACAATTTACATATACATGTATATGTCTTTTGAGTGTTGTGCTGGGACATAGTTATTTATTTAAGCGAAACGAATAAAATATCGTTATTAAATTAGTCGACTTTCAATATAGCTAATAGTAGTTAAAGAGTAATTGTAAATATAATTAAATAAAATATAATTTAAGTTATCCTCTAACCAATGTAAGATTTAAAATTCCTGTTACAGTTTTTCACATTGAATAAATAATTGATGGCCTAGTGGTCTAGTGGTTTAGCACACTGCTTTTTTTGCTGCTTCCGACGGTCGCGGGTTTGATTCCTCGCACGGTACAAACATTTGTATTCATAATTATGATTATTTCTATGTGTCTGTGTGTTTACTATGTATACTTCTTATGTATGTGTAGTACCCATAGCACAACTCTTATCTATATCGGATTACTTTGTCCAGTGGCATTATTATTATATTTTCATTATATTAAAACTTAGTTTATACCTGTCTGCACTCCTTGACTGTATCAGTTGCACTTGTTGTAAGCCGCTATAAAAATGTCTGTATACTAATAAATATTAGAGATAAATCTACTATTGCCAAATGAAAATATAGATCATATTCTAACATCATGCAAAATATCAAAATAATTATGTCTTACATAAATTAGTTATAAGTACAACCTGATATAGCATACCAGATCATTATTAAGTGTTAAATCCATTGTTGATTATTGATATTACTAATAACTAATATGCCCATGCCTACTACATAACCCGGTGTAATCCAGTAGACAACAGTTGTTATACAATAAATAAAGATAATAATCACATGTTAAATATGGATTAGTGATATATAATCGTTCGCACTAAACATAATCCCTAATGTGCATAATATATCGGTAACTAAGTAGGTATATCCGTTTTCAAAGCCGCGACTGCGTTCACAGCCGTGGAAGATTGTCAAACGATAGTTTGAATGTGTGTTGTATTTCGCACGATCGTAATTTATCGCACATTATCATAGTTCAATGCGCGGGCCGTGGAGGGATACGCATCGCTGCACAATGCACATCAATATATTGACACTACCTACTGCGCCCAGCTTTTATTAGTTTTAATATTCTATTATACATATATGTATATAATAATCATTAATAATTCGCCCCAGTATACGTTCCGGTGCAATTAATGTATTGATTTGTGTATTTTTTTAATATAATATAGACCATGTCACTTGCTGATGACCTAGCTTTTTATAGGTTACAGAATAATTATTTTTATTAAAAATAGTATCTGCTTTAGAAAATTCTAAGATATACATATTCATTAGAGCTATTTTTATTTGAAATTATAATATATATTGTTTTTATTTTAATGTATATTGTTTTATTGCAATGTCTCCGAGTTTTTTTATAAGTACATAATAACGTCTACTATTTATGCGGCGCGAATTGTCTGTGGTGTGAATCTAAACTTGATTGTAGATACTTATAATTATACGTTTCTGATTTACCTATACTCAAACGTACCGAATTGAGACAGGTACTTCTCTTGCATTAAATCGTTTATATATATTCAAAGCAAAATCCAATAAATTTCTTCTGTCATAAAATCCCTTTCAAACTACACCAAAAAGGGAGATAATTACGACACTTCGCGGCTTTTCTTAGAGGCCTGAAAGACGAACAGCAAAGTCGTCTAAGTCCGTTTCGACGAAAAAAGAAAAGATCTTTACTCAAAAGGATTCAAGGCATTTAGGGTGGCAACGTGTCACACCGTACATGTATAAAATATTTGATGGTGGTTTGTTTTACAAACACCATCTATAAATATACAAGTGGTTAAAGTTATATTTAGTGGCGCTTGTAGGTCATTTATAAACATAATTCAACTGTGACTATACGTTAGAAACGCTTTATTCTATAAAGAAGTGAAATGAGCTAATAATTAGATTGAAACTCTGTCATTTCAAATGCAATATTAATATAATAAGCTTCAAATAATATAATTAAAAGAAAAATAAACGACCATCATCCTAAATGGCAGTCCCATTGAAAGTGGCAAAAAGAACTGCATAGAATCGGTCCTAGTAAAATGTAGGTATTTTATGGAAAACTTCGGTGTAACAGTAGGCTTTTGTAAGCATTAAGGAAAAGGGGCGAAGGGGAAGGCTTCAGTAAACGGAACAAAAACACCAACGTTATTAGCGAGATTGGTGTAATCTGACTAATCTATTTTGGGAAAGGGGCTCTGCGCGGTGCTTAGAGGTGTCAATTAATAAATAAACAATTTCTTATAGATAAGTAAAGCGATATTGTATATCTATACGGTCCTAACAGCTACCACAGACAAAGCGTTATCTGCGGCTGCTCCTGAGTTGTATTTGTTAAGGGCCATAATGGTTATGCTTTTCAGAACTTCATAACATCATCATTTTCTGTTCTTCTATCTATAAAAATTACTTTGTTGTTTTATTAATTTGAATAAAATTACTAATAATTAACGGTGACAAATTGCTTTATATTAAAACGAAACTAAGATCCAGTTGTATGTATTTTTAATTTTCTAATTAGCTTAGTTAGTTATTATAGCCTTAGTTATTACATATATCGTAGACCATATCATTATTTTTTAAGTTACATATAAGATCATATGTCGTAATATAATAAATATAAAAATCATATATTTCTATCGATATACTTACATATAATGGTGTGCTGTTTTAGGTGATCGTCTCCTGGATATCCCATGCAATGTTTGCGGAGATAGAAGTTCGGGGAAACACTACGGCATTTACAGTTGCGATGGTAAGAATGATGAATGAATCTCCTTAATAAATACTAATAATTTAAACAGATCAATTGATATGAAAGATAGTTTTTAGCTGTATGTAACAATTTATTAAACGATTTTAATCAAATACAGGTAAAATTAACTATAATTACAAATTGTGGTTAAGAAATAAATGAAAATAATATTATAGTAATTAATCTAAAAATAGGAATGCAATTTTCACGATCATGCTGTACCTACAAAGTTATTATTTGTATTAAATATATAAAATACTTAATAATAATTATATAAGTAACTGAAGGCGTAAGTAACTTACGGAACCTTACGTTTGATTTATATCTGCTAAATTATATGAATTATTCTTAAGTACCTAAGAATAATACATTATTACATAGATATAGTCATTTTCGTACGAACTTATTTTTATATGGGCACGTTGAATGTTTATTTCATTATTATATATTTACCTGCACATCGATAAAATGAAACAAAACCTAACTTAGTTTTGTTTCATTTTATTGAAATGTATTGTTCAGAAAACTTCAATTTAGTAATTTTTGGCAGGATGTTCGGGTTTCTTCAAAAGGTCAATACATAGAAACAGAGTGTACACATGCAAGGCTGGCGGGGACATGAAAGGCAGGTGTCCCGTGGACAAGACCCACCGAAACCAGTGCCGTGCCTGTCGACTCGCCAAGTGCTTCCAAGCCAACATGAACAAAGACGGTAAGGCTGGTCTGGGCCTTTGTTATAATTATGTAATATTTTTCATATCTATGTTATAAAACTAACGCTACGCCTTCGTATTCAGAACAATAATATAATAGTTTAGAATTCTTTTGTTTATGTGCCGATTGTAATCAAATAAATACAAAATGTTAAGAGAAGTTGGCTATAAATATATTAATAACAATTACCTACACACAAATGGGTTAACGCTGTTCTAATATTAGCGCACAAAACAAATTCTAATTTGAATTCCATTGCATTAGCTAAGTACCCGTCTGTACATAAAAGATACTTGAGAAATACTATAATTAGGGGAATTATAGTATTTCTCAAGTATCTTTTATGTACAGACGGGTAGTTATGGTTTACTTATGATATAATTCACTCATTGCCAATTTTTTTCTGCCTTATCACGTTATAAAAGACGTACTAATGACCACAGATTATAATTTATCTAATATGCTTTGTATATACCTTACATAAAAAATTCTCGTGTCATCGGAAGAGTATGGTAATGTTAGTTACCATACTCTTCCGAAACGTATTGAACGATTTTTATGAAATTTTATATACAGATTCAGTAGGTTTGAGAATCGCCTATTATCTATTTGTCATACCCCTAAGTCCTGAAGGTTATCCGCTCCTAACATTTCTTTTTCAACAATTTTTTTTTATAATGTAGCTTTAAAAATACATAGATACAATCTTAAATTTTTATATTCATATTCTTTAATGTTACATTATGTTGTAGACAATAATATGGATGTATGTATATAGAACGTATACTTAAATACATAAAATGACAATGGATGTGGACAATAGTCCAACGAAATCTATCAGTAGTTATAGTCTGGCGTGGTATTCGTGCGTCCATCAAGCTCACAGCAGGTTGTTTTGTCCCCTGCTCACTCGTTGAAATATTGAGTGAAATATAGCGTCTGCCGGCGGCCGGCGGCCAGTCCCATTTCCACCGCTGTATTTACCCGATTCTATCTGTCATTACGTCATCTCGATATATCCAATATCCTGTACCATATTGCGTTTTTCTGTCAGCCTTTGTCACTTTTATTCATCGAAAACAAAACATTTTAACATTTCGTATAACGATTTTATGTTTCTATAAATTGTTATAACGCAAACGTATTTCATTCAGAGGAAAGATTATATTATTATATATATTATTTGCTAAAATCCGAAAAATACTTAATCGACATTAAAGAAGTCTTTTACGTCATAGTTAGGTATATAGGTAGTTTCTTGTCAGTTCTTCTCATCTCGAAATCGTTTCAAACTGACGGTAGATTTGACATATCATAAGAGTCTATAATAGACCTACATGAATAAAGATATTATAAATTTTGAATATAACACTTTAGTAACGTAAGTTGTATTTAAAAAAAACCCGGGATATTGCTAATTTGTAGATAAATCTTCTACGGCACGATTTCAAAGATACTTATTTCTTGATTACATTTGCCACCGATTTTGATATTATATAAACATATTTATGCCCTGAGACATATATTCAGTAACTTTCAATCTCGTATCTAGTATCACAGTATATGCAAATGCTCTCTTTAAGTAAAATCTTGTGAATAATTGAATATGCATGGGGTCCCATGTCAGCCGCAAGTTGGGTCTAACTCTCGATTGTAACGCCTTTCATTGCTTATTTAGAAGAGGTAAGTGACTCCTATAGCAGTACTGTTATATACCTACAGCGCAAGAATTCAATTTAGGAGATTTATCTCATAGTTTGAGTTATTGTTCTTTTTTTAATCTAGTTAATTTATATAAAACGTTTGCATTTTATTTAACGTACAAACTTCACTAACATTGACTATTCTAATAATATCCTTGGACAATAAACACAACGCCATCTAGTCAAATGCTAAGCATAGCTTGTTTTATGAGTACTAGACAACTGATAAAAATACTTAAATTTTTTAGACCAAGACCGATACAAACAATCATGCTCATGAACACAAATGTTTGTACCGTGCAAGGTATCGAATTCACGACCATTGGAAGTAAAGCAGTGTGCTAAACCGCTAAACCAGCGAGGCCGACATTGTGACAATTATTCATAGTACCAACATAAATAAATTCAAATGCCATTGATTACACGTTATGTTGATCCTATATAATATGTACAGATCGAACGAAAAATCGCGACAGTAACCATGGACAGTAATACCTTGATTACTGTGTGTCGCTATTTTTTCGTTTTCACAATTTCATGGTAATAGTTGAACAACCTGCACCCATCGGTATTGAGATCGCTGTTACTCCAGTCAAATCGTGACCACGCCTGGTGCAACCTAATCCAAACGTCGAGGGAGCCAAACTTTTGTTAAGCACGAAATTGTTCGTGTTAAGAAAGAACTAACTACTAAATAAGACTCTAAATACCTACATTAGCTAATTATAACAATATTTTTGTAAAAGATAAAAAAACTTTCTTGTTCTTTCTTGTTTTGCCTATTTGTGTTAATATTAGTTACATGAAAATAAAATAAAACAGTTAAAAACTGTGAGAATGATGCGAGTATTTTGTATACGCCATCGTGTGCCAGGTGCAGTATTACGAGTAGGTAGATATTGTAGATACTCGTATGTATGTAACGGCGTGGAGGCTGCTGGGGGACCGGAGGCTGGAGCTCCACGCTGCGGTCTCGCCGCAGGTGCTCCGACGCTAATTTATTCACGAGCATCACTTTGTGCCGCCGCGCGCCGCGGCCCGGATTACCTTTATATGTTTGCTCGCTTGTAATTATACGCCCTCACGAAACTTGCTCGTCGAATAGCTACCTATTATCTACTTATTCGTCATCTACGTGAATTACATAATATTTATCATTTAGTTCTGCAATTCCAAATTTAAATAATAAGAAAATTATTTTGTTATAACAGTACTAATTCCGTTATGTAATATATGTGAGCATGTTTTTATGTAAAATATTCTTTATAATTAGACACAGTTGCCGACTTATTTTTAATATGACTTCTTAGTGTATTCAATAATTTAGATTCGTATTACTTAATATACATTTTTTTGAACAAACCAAGTTGATAAGTAATTTAAAATTTAATTTATCATAGCATCTACATATCAGTATTGTAATGAAATAATAATAATAGTTGAGCTGTATACTGATAATCATTATAATTATTCAAACATCATCGTAGAGAGGCTTGTACATACTTATTGAATATACTACCGTCTCAATTTCGTATTGATTAAAAAAATGTAGGTATCAAGCTATATAAATTGCAACTTTTAGTAATGTAATTGTGCTAAATATATAGAGAGTGTGGCTAAAAATCAGCAAGTTGCCGAACTCCGACTGGCATGGAGCCAATCAGCTAATACTAATATCGTTGTGCAAACACGGGTCAACTCCAAGTTGAGTGTATTGATACTGACACTCCGACGTCCGGGCCTTCCAGCTGAAGGCCATATAAGCACATCATTAGGTAAAACTACCTGTAACTTATGAACAATTCCTTATGATAAGGATTCCATTTGATCACAACATAAGTTGATTTATAGCAAAGGAGTAGATAAAAGTGCCACTTTTCATTGTGAATTGGCCAAGACATTCCAGTACATACAATCGTATGTAAAACTACACTAGTTAGGCCCGCAACTTCTTACTGCTTTTATTTCTAAATCAATAGGAATAAAATGAACGTAAAATTTTAAATTAAACTTACCACAATAATCAATAAAGATCCTACATAAATTGGTTAAGTCATTTGAAAGTTTAGCGCGCACAATCTCACAAATAAAATAAACATACAAATATTCTAACAATAATTGTTTTTGACTCTAATAACTTTAAAGTCACACAATCGTATTTTTTTATAATTGCTCCTAATGTAGTATTATTACTTAACTAAAAGTGCAATAAAAATGTATATACTATTATAGTAATAATAATAATAATAATATCAGGACAATTCACACAACGCAATCTAGTCCTTAACTTAAGCTAGCTAAAGCTTGTGTTATGGGTACTAGATAACTGTTATATATACATAGATATTTTTTTATCTATATATACAAGTATATATATATATATATATACAAGATACATATAAGTATATATATGTATATATATATATATATATATATATATATATATATATATATATATATATATATATATATATATATAGATATATACAACAACAACAGATAACAGATATATATGGACAACAGTAAAATTAGGAATACATAATTTTACAAAAGTAAGAACTTCCATTCATTGATAGATGGAGACGTAGATATATGTAGGTACAGAGAAGAAAATATAATCTCATTATTAGTTAGTACTTTCAATGCACACTTTTTTATGTTTCAAATTTTAGGTTGAAGACACGTATATCAAAATCTGAATTATCATATAACATAAAATCGGTCTTATAATTCCGCAGATACCAGATATTGATAAAAGGATGAATGAGCGTGAAATTAGGTCACTTGCCCACTATGTGTAAAGTTCACATAGAATTATCTAATACACTATATACCTTACAGTTTATATTTGTTAATACACATTACAAAGTGTTCTTTTAGTGCGTTCAATAAAGAGTTATTATATTACTTTATATTAAATCGCCATAGCATATAAATCTGGCGTCAAAGTACTTATTCAGCAACAATTTATCACCTTCAACTGAGATGCAAAATAAGTAGTTATGACAAGTATCCACTTAAATAAGTAAAAAGATACGTAACTCCTAGATACTAGATAGACATAAAGACGTTGTTTTGTAGTTAAATAGTCATATTCTTGTTGGAATACCTACTACTTATATATGGTATTGATGCAGTGATCTCTAATTTTATGAAATATATTTAAGCAGATTTTTAAATTAAAGTTTTTAAGGATAAATAATTTTTGTTCTCCGTATAATATTGGTATACAGAAACCGTATCAAAAAGTATCTCATTTCTCTATTTCGCTCGTTGAATATGATATAGGTTCGGG